CTGGCTTGGATCATTTGAGGCAGCTACCCATGGAGCATGGTGCTCACAACACACCAGCGGGACGTGGCTTTATGTGGCGCAAGGAAGGTTACAACTGGATGCAGGCGAACAAAGCCAAGATCAGAATTCCCGATTTGCAGGGGTGTAGTCTACCCAGTCTATAAAAGGGATATATAGATTAGATAGGTAGTTGGAGGTGTTTCAAAAACGAAATGCTATAGCCAACCAGCAGACATAGTAGAGAGTCAACAAGGTGGAACCATTGGGCACTGCACTGCACCAGTGATTTGGAGTAAGGCAGTACTGCCATGTACTGCCTGTCCTGAGCATACAAGCCATGGTCACAGCTGCCATTGTTCACTTGGGCAGGGACATGGTCAAACTCACCAATGTCGCCAATGTCCAAAGGGCAGATCGTTTTGACTCATTGCTTTCTGCATCTTTGTGCAGGGACACAACATGCCATCATGTCGCTTCTTAGCATCTTGTTGCATCCATAGCAGCTTTTGGACTCCGAAGCTCGGAGGTTTGCATCCCATTTCCTTCAGCGGAACATCTTCCGAATGTCCCCGTGGGCGAGGGATTTATGTGGCACCGCCGTTTTGATCCTCAAGGAGTCGATGGAGCTTTATGAACACGCAAAAACATATGGAGTGGGGAGGTCCAGAGGGAGCGGAGAAAAAAGGAACCGCCAAAAAGGGAGAGGATCCTCTCAGGAATAGACAAAGACCATCAAAGATCCATCCAGGTGATGCTTCCTTTCAGGTGACCAAGCTGCTGCATTCCTTCCTGACAGGACAAATCTGGCAGCAAATTCCGATGACTTTGCATGATGCTGGAAAGATTGGAACAGTTCCCAAGATCCCAGCAGCTTGGCAAATCCAAATTAAAACGTAGGAAATGCCGGACTTGAAGCGGCTTCTCCAGATTCCTGTGATTGGCCAAGGCAGGTCCTGGTTTCTGGTGGAAGCGTGTCAACGGCGAATGGAAGCAGGCCAGGGGGCTTTGCTTGTGTTTACAAGCGTTCTACTGCACCATCCGTGCACATGTTGCTGGGTCGAGTTTCCCAATTGTCCGAAACCAGCGTTGTCTCAGGTGCCTTTGCCCAAGGATATGCGGAACCGAGAACGGCCCTGCAATCTGCGTTCCGGCCCTGGAATGCGATGGGTTTTCCGAGCTGCCGGTGGCACAGTAACCTGGCCTCTTTGTGCTTTGCCGTGTTCGTTTGCGAGAACATAATGTGCTTTTACCATGTTTTAAATTTGATATAGAATAATTCACTAAGCACACTCTTCAAGATCCAGTAGAAGGCTCAAAGGCTCAAAGCCAAGATGGCGGAACATGCTTAAGTTAGGCACGCTTCTTCACTTGAGCCCCTTCAAGCAATCTGTGTCGTGCGACTTCTGAACCAACAGTCCTTGATGACTTCGTTGGTTTCTTCCAAGGGTCTGTTACCACAGTTTCGGCAACAGCGCAGCCTGTGAGGCCTGGCAACAGCTGTTGATCCCTGGATGGAAATCCCACAGCGTGAACCCGCAGCCGGGCGTGCCGCCGGGCGAAGGTGCGAGCCTGGCGCGTGCAGACGGGCCTGGCGCTTCCTTGTTACTAGTAGCGATGGCCTCCACCCTGGTAGCTTCTTGCTACTAGTTCTGCCGCCCTTTTGAGCAACATGAGAAATGATGCGCTTGTTTGTTTGGAATGCCAGGATGGACTGGGTCGCTACAATAGGAAAGTTGGGGGATGGGTGGACAATCGGCAGGGTGTTTGGTTGGTCACCATTCTCACAATTAGTTCAATTTATTTCAGAATATTTCAGTCACAAAAACATACACAAAGCTTTGCAGATGTGAAGGCTGCTCAAAACCAAGCCTTGCAATTGCTGCACTTGCATTGGGCAGGCTTCATGTGGAGCTTCGAGCCACAAGATCAAGGATGGACTCAAATATGCATACCAGGACCGGCCAAATACGCATACCAGCGCATAGCACGAGTTTGGAACGCTGAATTCGATTGAATCCATCAACTGCCAACTGCCGTAATGTGTTTACCGCTGGAGGCTGGTCAGAGGATGAAGCACAGCCACCGACGCTGGAAGCGGGCACGGGCTTCATGTGGGTTCACCAGGCACCTGCGCAAAACATTGGTTGGCCTTGCAGCACACTATGCCACAATCAGAAACTCTTTTCGCCCCTCTTGGCTTTCCATTTGATTGTCAAGTTATATAGTTGAGGGCTTGAGAATGGCCTTTCTGCATGTGTTTTCCGTGTCATGGGCAACGATTGAATCAAACAGTTGCACCGTTGCACCAGTTTTCCCACATCAGGGCGGAAGCTGGCACCAGCTGCCCGTTCCACGCGGGTTGCGCCGTTCTTGCATGGAACAGCCAACGGAAAGCTTTGCTCCAGCAGGCGCGATGATCAAGAACAGTCCAGAAAACAGGTTTTCGGATTGCTTCTAGTAGCATTTGCTCTAGGAAGTTTCAATTCGGATCTGCTTCGAGCAGCTCGATTCACATCGGTTCCACCCGCGAGGCCAAGGCTTTATGTGGAAGTGCCTTCGGAAGGATGGACTACTGGCCTGGCATCAGGTCCATCGGAACACCTGGCACGAGGATGGCCCCTCGAAGCCACCCAAGGATAAACCGGGCACCGGCCTGATGTGGGTCTACCAGGCTGGGAAACTTGGATCACTCGGTTCAGTTCTCAGAGTCACTCCGGCTTGGAAGAGTACGGGGAGACTTTACTAGTATCTTCTAGCTACTAGTAGCGATGCACTTGCTACTACTAGCGATGCCCCTGCTACTAGTAGCTTCTTGCTACTAGTAGTAGTGCCCGTGTTACTATAGTAGCAATGCCGTTGTTACTAGTGCTAGTCTTGTTACCTAGAATGAGTATAGCTCAAATGACCATCGGGAGATCATTTGGATTCTTCCCTCATCTACCGTGGAATCGTTTGCCGAGCGCACCAGCCCAGCAGGATGATTATTGGCAGCAGCAGCCCATTCCAGGGTGGATCTCCAAGCAGGCACCTCATTTGCCAGCCGGACCAGGCCTCATGTGGACTAGCCTCTTTGACTTTCATTTGGCAAATTTTGGAAGCGATTATAGCTTTGACCGGCAAATAGGATGTGGGATAGTTTTGGGATGTATGAATTTCGGGTCTTATTTGGGAGAGCCCTGCCTGACTGGTTTGCTGCCTGAACCGTGAGCACGAAAAGTTACAGGAACCACTATGAATGGGGTACATGTTTGGAGGCAAGATCTTATTCCAGACTGGGAAGTGGACAACAGACTCCATCCACCAGCAGAGCCTGCGGGTGAAGGCATGATGTGGAGGTACGACGAGAAGAACCGAAAAGAGTGGAAGCAAGTACGAATTGGAGACTGGTATTCCGACAGTGCCAATCACCCACCCTCCGAGTATGCAGGGAATGGCCTCATGTGGAAGTTTGTCTCTGTGGACAAGAATCCTGGTGAGTGGCAGCAGGTGGACATACCTGATTGGCATGTCTTGGATCAGTTTAAGCCCCTTAGACCGAAGGATGTCTTTCTGTTTGAAGCAAAATCCGGGCCGTTTCGAAGCGCGGGAAAGTGAGATTTGCACGACATAGCGTTTAGAAAGGGCTCTTTCCATTCTCAAACCGTGCACCAAAGTGACCCCGATTGAACGGTGAATCCTTGGCAGAGCATATTGACTATGGAACATGTGTTGGATGGAAGTCCTCAAAAGTTTTCCATTCGGTGACATTTGATGTGGGTTTAGTGTTTCAGGATGAGGGGAAGGCATGCTCTGAGTATTTTTTGTCCAAGACAAGGACTGTGACGAATAAATTCAGAGCCAAAGAAACTGCAGGCTTCCCAACGAAGCCGCGGGGCCTGGCTTCATGTGGAAGTTCGACAAAGACATTGGCCGATGGAAACAGCTACCCATCCCCAGATGGCGGGAAGACGCTCGGATTGGTACATGACGACTTGAGGATAGTTATGGGGAAGTTGCCCTGTTTGTCGTTCTTAACGATTGACTTTTTGTACTTTGATTGAATGGTGGGTGATTTCAAGACTTGAAGACTCAGGCCAAGAGCACTCAGCCACCACAACTTCCTGCTGGGGAAGGCTACATGTGGAAATACATCAAAGAGAATGCGAAAGACCACTGGGAGCAGATCCAGTTGCCCAAGTCCGAGCTGTTGAGACAGCATCCAGAACCATCAGAGTTTCTCGGAAAGAATGAGACAGAACAAACATGAAGCAACAATACTCGGTATCACAGACATATGCCACATGTGCTGTATATGCAAAAAGGCTTGATTTCTGAAACACCTTAAAACTTTTGCTTGTTTGTATTTCGGTTGTTAAGCTTGAACTGAGGCCTGCGGGCAAATACTTCCGATGGCAATACAAGACAGATGGAGATCGCGATCACTGGGAACAAGTCCTCCTTGACAACCTCAAATGTACAGGTATTCTGTGCCACTTCAAGGTTTGGTAGTGACATTTCACCCGTACTCGCAAAATTGGCGAGTGTGGTTTGGTGGAACTAATCTCCCCTGCATGACCATTTGCAAGTCTATGGCCGCGAGACAATCGGATCGTGAGCTTTGGGCCTCTGGCCCGTGTATAATGCTCCTACCCTCAGCCTTGAGGTCCACTTCTGCCTGTATGAGTTGCTTTTAGGCTTTTGGGGTTCTTCAAGGATAAGGAGTCACAGAGGTCGTTGGTCAACGGGTTCGTGTTGCTTTTGGGTCTGAGGCTGGTTTGGGGTGGAAACTACGAAGGACACAGATTCCGCCTGGCCGGCGCAAGACGCGCCGCGCCCAAACCCAGGTTTTTTCAGTGCTCGAGGATCATACGTTCTCTCAGAGACCAAAAAGCTGTTGTTTTTTGTGAGGGAAGTTTTGACCCCTACTGGTATGTTGTTTTAGGATGTTTGACTCCGCATGTTAGGAACAGAAACATGATCGAACCGACCACTGGCGCCTGCACCGGAGCGCCTGCAGCAAGGCAATGACCTCCTACTTCGAATGCTCGACAAAGATGATGCCTTACGCAAGGCCCTCAGTCCCACCCCTCAACATGTCATGTTCCACAAGATGACTGGTGTGAAAGGTTGGAGCAACCCTGTGTTGAAGCTATCAGCTATCACTTGGCATCGTTACTGTTGGTATTTGGTTGATTCAGCTGTTTGAGGCCCAGATGCCACGCAATGTTTGGAGCATCCCTGGTTCAGTGGCTACAGCGAGGTGAGATCGACCACGCTGTGAGATCTGCCGTTCAATGGATCAGTTGGTGGCTGATCGCCACCATGGCCATGATCCGAAGCGAGTTCACCGCTTCAACCTACAATGGCAAGACATCAGTATAATAATAACGGGTGCCCATTGAGTGTTCTGACGTCCACCAGAGAATGTGTGAGTTGGTTGGCTGATCGGGGCCCTCCTGCATGTTCTTAAGAACAATCTTTGTCTGCAAGGTGTGCAAGCACACACCACTGTGGTGTGTCAAGCACGATTCGTTGATGAATGATTCCACGGAATCAAGAAAGAGTGTGGGTAGGCACGTCTCCAGCCCCTACACACGCAAGTGCAGACAAGAGTGTGCGAGGGAAGTCTTTTCTCCTGGGAGTGTTTCTTTTGCTTTTGCTTTTTCTATTGCTTTTGCGTCTGCTTTTTCTTTTGGTGTGCTTTTGCTTTCGCATCTGCTTCTGTGTTTGCTTCTACTTTTGCTTTTGCTTCTGCTTTTGCTTTTTGCTTTAAGGAGGGAAGAAAGTAACCTGACGTTCGCAACTTTTCATATCGGGGGTTCTCCTTCTGCACTCGTCTCCACTCTCCACTCAGGTCTCGGAACCAGCCCCTCTTTTTGGAACTTGGAGAAAGGGGGGTTCTATGAATTTACGCTCCCAAACACTATGTGGCCTTTAGAGACTTAAAAGTGGCAGGTGGCGGCCTGTTGGAGGCCAAGCCTAAAGAAACCTTAAGGAAGCGAAACCCTAAGCCAACCCCACAAAACCCTAAAGAAGCTCTCATGTTTGTTGCATGCCGTTGCACTTATATACTTTTAAAGTCTTTCAACTTTTGGTATTGTGTTGTGTTCATTCTTGCTCCCCTTTGATGGCTTCGTGCCTTATCCGCTGGTTGCTAAGCACAAGCGGAAGGGAAGATCACATTGAGAGGAGAATGGTGCATTCCAATGTCGCAGACCTTTTGTGAGCCACCCGAGGGCAAAATATTCAGGAGGACGGTGCCATTCCAACCTAGGGGCCTTCCAACGTAGCAGATCTTTTGTGAGCCACCCGAAGGTAAAAGCTCGAGGAGCAAGATACCATTCTAAGGTAGAAGACGCTTTGTGAGCCATGCGAGGGTAAAATTTGGAGGAGGAATGGCCCATTGCAACTAGCAGACCTTTTGTGAGCCCGCCGGGTGATGATGAGGATGATGATGAAGCGCAGACCGGGAAAACAAGTGGCCCGTTTTCGTAGATGATTGTTCGATATTGTTCGCACATGACTGGGTCCCCGGCACAAGTTCAGCGCGCTTCTTTCTGGGTCTTTGGAAGGTAAAGTAAGATGAGGAAGGTCTAGTTTAGTCTCCCTGAAACACCGTTTGTGGCCGCCTACTCGTATCGGGGATGCAAGCTGCACCGATGAGTTTAGATTCTTGTTTGTGGCAGTTTTGCTGGATGACTTGTTTCTTAGTAGAGTTAGATTTTTTTTCTTTCCCCCTCTCCCTCTGTCTTGCTCTCCTGCTTCGTCTCCTTACCCTTTTGCTGCTCCTTCTGCTTTTGAAACACACCCGGGAAAACACACACACAATCGTCATAGTTTTTTATCCCTCCCTCTCTCCCTCTCTGTCCCTCTCTGTCCCTCTCTCCCTCCCGTTGTTCCTTCTGTTTTTAAAAGCACGCCCTAGTAATTTTATCGTTGCTCCTCCTCCTTTGCCTTATCATGTTTTTTTCCTCGCTGCCCTCCCCTCTGTCCCTTGTGCTGCTCCTTTTGCTGCTAAGAACAAATCCACCCTTTTGTGAGTGCCCATCAAGCAGTCTGAAATGCACACAAACAAGAGCGAAGCAGCAGCGCAAGAAAGGACAAAGCGAAGGGAACGCATCCAGGCAAAAGCCTAAAGCACGCCCGAAACACCCTTTCAGAGTGGCATCGGAGGAAGAACCAATAAAGGACATAGATCCAGAGGGAACTGTCGTAATCATTGATGTGGAGACAGGAGTAGTGTTTCACGGGCGAATCACAGGATCAGAAAGGAAGGAGCGCTCAAAGGAGACACGAGGACTAGGACTACTTGAATCGATACAAGATCCACAACAGAGAGACAAGGAATAAGATCTAGCTGCCGCCGCCAAGGCTCTCCGTTTGTTGTGAACAAAGTACACGCGCTGAAGAAGCCAGGGTAGGGATTGGTACATTCACCAAGATAGACTGCTGCAGGCCAAGAAGCACATATCTATATACATGTTAACATACACTGTCGGGGTGAAGGGGACAGAAGGGCAGTTGGCACCTGTCTAAAGTGAGAAAAGTACAGATTTCATGAGATTTCTGCAAAAACAAGAAAAACTCCAAAGGTAGACATTTCTGGAGAACACGTAAAGGAGCGAAGAATACTGTATAAAATAAAGCCGAAGGTTTCTAGACAAAGAGAGTGCCTCATTCCCCAGTACTTCATCACGTTACCCTTTACTGCACGCACCACTTTGCCAAATCACAAGTCATCACACGCAACTTCACGCCATCACCAAGCAACATATTGCCAAGTATACCATATGACACGACAAACAAAACATCACGCAACACTTCAGAACCACATCATCACGGGATATCACCACGCATCACAGTTCACATCAAATCGAGAAAAACCTCCTGACGGTACAGTGAAACATTGGTGCCAAGCTATATAATAAATCCACTTCGGGGTACAACAGGTACAACACACCATCCCTATGAGTGCCTCATCAAACCAACCACGTCACTATGCCTCAAACATGGACATCCCACCAATCCAAATTGAGTTGGAAAGGAACAGTGAGTCAAAATGGGGGGCTGCCTCATGAAAGACACATAGCCAAAAAAAGCTGGCACTCAGACTGGACATGGGCTGTGGGGCTTGAAGTTAGAAAACGATGCTGCCAGAGTAGGATTTCGGAAATTTCGGAACTGTTCGTCTTTAGAGCTCCTTTGGAGCTTTTGGTACCACTTCCATCCGTCTCGGGTCTCATGGGTGGAGCCCGTCATCGCCTCAAACACGAACGACGTCAGATCCCGCCGACCCTGTCCGTGGGAGTGTTGCAGTGCGACCGGGACCTCGGAGTGCCGCTGGTGGATCGATGGTTGTGTTATGTTGTGTTGGTTTATCCTGAAGCAGACCATGCGCGATGAGCAGATAATTAGGCTGATTCTTTCTTTGCTGACACATGTCGTGCCAGAGTCAGAGATGTTTGATTCAAACATCATCTCAATATCCAGCAGCTTCTCCCCCCGCTTTCGTCTGCTTTTTTCCTGAGGTGGAATCCTATGCGCGCATGTCAGAGTTGCGCAAGGTCACTGTTTTTTGCAAGTGTCTTCCCCGGGGATCAACATCAAGGGCCACAGGGTCCCAAGGCGGCAGGCCGGTGGCGGGTCCCGATTCTTCGGTTTTCCAGGGCATTTTCCTCCTTTTGGCGCACCAATACGAAGTACAGAAGAGCGTCGGGAGCCGAGAGCGGGTCGACCGGTGAACGCAGGTGTTTGGATAAGCTGACAATTTGAACGACTGCTAAAGGACGTGCGCACGACAATGAACACATTTAGCCACATGGAGAGATGCAATTAATGTACCAGACTGAATCCATGCTATGTTACATCAATGAAACAATTGATGATTATATTATATGTATTTATACTAGATGTAGCATTAGATATTCATATATAGATACATTATCGATACAATATCAATTGATAGATGCATATGTGAGACAGGTTTAAGCGTTCTGGCTCAAGGTCCACGCGCTTGTCTCAAGTAATTCAAAACGCATCAAACGTGGCATTTATGGAGAACGCAATGCTCTTGATTAAAACAGAGACAACAAAGAAGGCAAGCTCTACTTTTTGTACAGAACTGTCTGACAAGTCCTTTCCGGGATGCAGAATGTTTCTCCTTCTTCAGATTCTGACAGGACTCAGAAGGTCCTTTCTGTTCCAGCAGCCCTTCTATCGCATTCTAGTAGGCTCCAGCCTCCGGCAACAACTGAACAACCTCCAAATTTCCATCACGGGCTGCAATGAACAAAGCTGTTGCCGCACTTGATCTTGCCGCCTGCATGCCAGCTCCAGAGTCGAACAACGACTGGACAACTTCCAAATGGCCCTTCTTTAGCTGCAATATAAACGGGTGCTTCATTGGGTTGACTTCGCCAACTCTACTCAATTTGCTCGTATGGCAGAAGCAGCTCCCCGTTGTGGTCTCATAAAGGAGCACGAAAGTTCTGGAGTACCAACTGCACCCCTGGTTGCCCTTTCAGCCATATCATCCTGTAGCTCCCCGATGCTTGAGTCAAGAGCCTTTGTTAATACCTTGAGTGTCCCACGTTAGCTGAAAGGAGTTGTCCGCATCAACACAACTCTTTCTCCAATTTCCTTGTGCCGACCATGCACCACAACTTGCCGCCGTCAAGCTTGATGATGATGGTGCCATCTGAAGATTGTCAGTCTCCCCCCAAAACATGTCTTTAAGGCCGTTTGACTTTGCACACTGCAGTTTGTCTCCAAACATGCGCGACTCATCAACCCCAGCAAGTGCGAGAACCAGGACAGCAACCAATCACGGAGGAATAGCAAATGGCAAGCCATCCAAGGAGTTAGTTGGGTTCCAGGTTCTTACCGCCTTTCATTTTTCCTGCTTCAGGGTTTACCCAAATACTACATTTTGAGTTGATTTGTTTAAGTCTAAAGGTGAGCGAACTCGAGGCCGAGGATACATTCATGATGGGCATCATTCGAACAAGAATGACCATCTCCCTTCAGCCTCCAACCCAATAGCGATGGCCTCCAACCTACTAGCAATGGCCTCCAACCTAAAAAAGCGCCGGCCTCTAACCTACTAGCGATGGCCTCCAACCCAATAGCAATGGCCTCTAACCTACTAGCGATGGCCTCCAACCTAATAGCTATGGCCCTGGCCTCTAACCCACTAGCGATGGCCTCCAACAAAATAGAGATGGCCTCCAACCTAATAGAGATGCCCTCCGACCTACTCTCTTCCTTGTCTTCTGAAAAGCAGCTTAAGTATCAGCGATGTAGAGACCTGATGCGGTTGGGTTACATTCCCCCGTGCTACCAGGTCTTCATTCTCGGAATCAACATGAAACAAGCCCTACTACTAACCAAGAAACATGGCCAACCTTTTGCCTTCGGAGATCGGCCTGAGGCTCTTGTTGAGCTCCGAGCGCTCTTTACGCATTTCGACGTGCGCAACCAAGGCTGGGGCCGTCGGGCCGTCGGATTGAGAGGAACCCGAAAACGGCTGACGTGAACTCCCGACTCCACCAAGAAAGATGTGTGAGGCAAGACAGGTAGGGGTCTGTCATTTTTGAGGCTAACTAACAATGCACACATTTTGTATGATTCTATGCTGGTGATCAGTGCTTCAATCTAGACATTGAGCTTCTTGCATAGTGTGCACCTAGCACAACATGGCTGGATGCCTACCATGCAACGCTGCAAATTGAAATGAGTGACACCACAGGCTGCTTGAGTACCCAAGACCTGAAGGGCGTTCTCGTGAAGTGGAACTCTCGGCGAATGCTACAGATTCTTCTAAATGATGTTGCTAGACTTTTGGGCTGAGGAGGCCATCGCTACCCGTACTTGTAGTAGGTTAGGTTGGAGGCCATCGCTTCTAGGTCGGAGGCCATCGCTATTAGGATGGAGGCCACTGCTGTTAGGTTTGTGTTCTTTATTCTTTCTGTTTTACTTTGGGCTGAGGAGTGGCATGGGAGGTGTGGCCGCTGAACGAGTGTGCCATGCATTGGACCGTCGAAGAGATGGCCAGATCACCTGGACTGCTTCCGCGTCCCTGTCTTTTAGGTCTGGGAGTTTTTTGGCCATTCCTAGTAGGTTGGAGGCCATCGCTTCTAGGTTGGAGGCCATTGCTATTAGGTTGGAGGCCATCGCAATTAGGTTGGAGGCCATTGCTAGTAGGTTCCCACTGCATGTCACCAGCGTCGAGAGGAAATACAGTTGCCCGCAGAGTGTTTCACTTTCTTGGGCCATCCAGATTGCGTTGTCTTCAGGATCAAGCGGTTTGAAGTTTGTGTCGACGCTGTATGTTCAAAGGTTCAGCCTCGACTGCTGGAGAACAAGAGATACTGCAGCATCCAAAATAGCTCTTGTTTCTTGGGTATGATGGCACAGCTCCTGGTTGCGACACTCACAGCGAATCATGTACATGCGGTATAGATGCAAGGCTAAAATAAGCGATACATGAGCTATGGGCTATGGGACACTCTCATTGGATAAAGCAGGACCGAGTTCACGGCTGCGGCAATGTGGTACGTAGTCAGCAGCTCAGTTCTCGAGAGACCAGCTCACTTTGTGCGTTTGCTCATTGAGCATGTCAAATCTTCTGATGCATGCGCCTTTGCTCGTAGGTATGGTATGTTTGTGAATTGGGCACACCCACACCCAAAGCAGCACGTTGGTGCAATTGTTGGGGGGGGTCAGCATAGCACAGCCTATGACACTATAGAAGACTGGGAAAGCGACTTGCCAGGTCTGTCGCAACAACAAGGCGATTGATGCCGCCTTTGCTACCTTCGATTCCGACCAGGAGCGCACCAGGGGTTCGTTGTGAGCTTGATTTCAAGGATCCAGAACCAGAAGGACTGTCCTTCCAGGGTTTCAGTTTCACTCATTTTCAGTGAATCGAATTTGGGGTGTATACCCATCGCCGTTGAAGAGGATTCCAAGCATTTCACGGTCTCCTCAACACCACGACGTCCTGGGCCTGCTCCCCACCTTTGTCCCAGCGCGCAGAAGGACGGGCGTGTGACCGCCAAAGATTTGCAGATGGTTTTGGCAGACGTCCGAGGTGCAGGGCTTTGCTGTCGGTTTCGGGGACTCTTGTCGAGTATGTCCATGCCTGAATCATATGAAATGAACACATGTGGCAGGCCAAGAAGCTTGGCGGAAGCAAATGCCTCATATGTTTGAGGAGATGGTCAGAGCCCCCAGGAGAGAAGAAGCTGAGGATGTGAGAAATTGCAGAATGCGTGTGGAGTCTAGAACAAAGTGTCCGGCTTCACTTCAGACAGTTCTCAATCTGGCCCTCCGAGGAAAAGCAAGAGATTTCATCTTTGCGAAGGATGTGTGAGGGCTTGCTTTTCTCAATCGGGCAGGCATCAGGTTTCTTGGACAACCAGAACCACTTTAGTGGCGGTTTTGTCAAAATGGATCGCAGCGGAAGTTGGCCTTGTAACACCAATGTTTTACAGGACAGCTCGCGACACTGTGCGTGGATTTGTGCAGCTGTTCAAGAAGGAGGCCACTGAAGGACCAAATGACATCTCGTCACAGTCTGTGTTGCGACCGTTTGGGGCAACGCATACACCAATTTGTGTGGTTGTTTCTTGCCTTTATAACATGTCAAAACATGTTCTTTCTCCTGCTTGGCAGGCCACAAAGTATGCCAACCTGGATCAGCCCAGGGCTTTGATGCTTTGGATCCACCGATCAACTTGCAGACATTCTGCGCATTTCGAGAATGATGCTGTTGGATGAAGCTGAGAACTTAAAGCACTTGATGATGGCTTCGGAGGTTCCGCCAGTACTTGCAGCAAAACATGGATTTTAGAGCCGCATGCCTAGACATGGCTCCCTAGTTTGAGACTTTCGAATGGGCAGCTGTGACATGACGTGAATTCAGCGGCTTCCTGTATTTGGTTTGTCGATTCAATTTGTCAATGATTGAGGCAGGAGATGCCTTGTACGCAGTTACGTAATCAAGGCTTCGAAAAAGAACATTTCAATTATACATATATATATATATTGACTAAATAAACACATGATAACAAATGGATACTTAGATAGATAGATAGGTAGATTGACAGACAGACAGACAGATAGATAGACAAGTAAGTAAGCAAAACGCAAGAACGTATAAATATATATATATACATTATATATATACCTATACAAGTGTTATATATATACAGTATATTCATACAGTATATATATATAAATATTAACAAATGCAGAATGATCCATGAACTGCTTGATCGAATACGCAGATTTGTTTTTACAACTGTAACTGTGAAGATACATCGGCAGAGTGGAGCCCAATTTTGTCCCAACCGCTTGATGTTTCTATTAAAAAACAACACATCTCTGAAATGAAAGGAGCCTGCAGATCCCCAGAAACACATTGGTAGCAGCACTTTGGTGGCCAGAAGGCAGTTCAAGCTCTGACCACTTGGTGGGGGAACACTTTTCCACAGCACTGTCGCCGAGCACTCAAACATGTGGGGTAAACAACACACCAGCATGCTGTTTGACAAGCACCGTGGGACCAAAATCGAGCTAACCTGCATTGCTAGCACCAGTTACTGTAGATCAGAAGGTCCGGCACTGCCGAAGGCTGACTGACGCACACATTCTTGGCATGGAATTGTGCGGAGTTGAATTTGACTCAATCCTTTCAACCTCGAGATCCGATTGTGTTGATCCCTCAGAGCACAAGGCAACAAATGTTTCTTACACCAGTTTGTTCAATTCCAGCTTTGTTGCGCTCTTTTGTATTGTTGCCCTGTCTCTCTCTGTGCTTTGGACGACTTGGTCTTCAACGTGTGCACCTTACTTCTATGTTGTTATTGCTTTGATCTCATTTGCCAGCTGATGAAGGCAGCCAGGTTCATTTGATCTATTTCACTCCACGAAAACCAGTTTGTGTGTATGTAATGTAATGACTGTAATGTATATAATGTAATGTGATCTATATAGTGTAAGAAACGTAACGTAACGTAATGTAATGTAGTGTATGCGCAATATATAGACTTATTTTTGAATGACGTAAAAACATAAACGGGATTGTTTATTCATATGTACCTGCATGTGAGGCAGGTGGTTCTTCCCAAAGATTTGCCGATTTTGAGAAAATGAGAAGCACGCCATTGCTGAGTCGTGGCTCGATGTAGTTGCACGGTGCGGAAACCGTCAGTGTACCCTTCGGAATGCAAGCCGACCCTGAAATCCAGAATGCGGTGTCAATCTTGCAGGAGACATCAGTCGGATCTGGTTCATTATAGTTCTTATTGCCGAATGACGTCGGTTTGATCCGTTTGAGGAGTACATACAGAGCTGTTCGGACTTTCCCCCACATTCCCGCATTTTGATGCCCGAAGCTCAGTTCAGCAAGAAACAGAGAACAGCGAACAACACAGGTGCTGATCGGATCATCGACACTTGCGGAGAAAAACAAGTCTTTGCCGCTCATTGCCCCACCGAGGTGGAACTTTGAGAAGCGACTGCAGGAGGACTCCTTGTTACAGTGCGAAGCCGAGCGGTTCCATCAATCAGCTGCGGTGTTGTGCAAAGGGCTTCAGTGGCTTCAGGTTCCGTGCCACTGTGTCCTTTGTCTTCAAGCAGGCCCGAATGGCTCTGACAGGAAGAACGATTGTTTGGTAGGGTGTTTCACTTGTCTTCATGTGCGTTTGATTGAGGTGCCACATTATTTCCGTGGCAGCTGGCAGACCTCCAAGAAAAAGGCAAAGCGGGCAGTTGGTTAGGGAAGGCACAGTGGCTGTTGGCTGTTATGTGTTGCTCTTGAAGGCCCAGAGAGACTCGGTCGGGATCTTGGACTTAGACCCTTTGAAGCCTATGTCTTGGAAACTGTGTGTGAGTCGGGAAGTGATTCCTTGCTGTATTTGTATTTTCTCTCAAACCCTACCGCTTGGCCATGAGCTTTTGCTGGACAGCGCAAGACCGGGCAATGCCTCGCATTTTCCAGCATTTTGTCCGGCATCTCCAAAGCTTCTTGACGAGACATATTAAGCAGGTTGTAACATTGCACTGCTGCAACTTACAGATCATTCTCGCGCAACTACATGTTGTTCTTGTGGACTCAAAAGGCAGACACTCAAATACGCACCGTGTGAGTTTGAAAGGCTTAAGGAGGGAGACAACTTGTGCTATTCCCTGACAGTTTGCAAGGAAGTGCCATACCGAAAACTCCACTGAGACACAGGTGCGGTCAACGAGCGTTGGGAGCATGATGGTATGACCAGAAATGGACTGGACAAACATGGAAGAAGTGTCAACCCCAAGAGCCTAGCGACTAACCCTTGTGCATGGGTGCTGGTGTTGGGTGACACGGTGGAAACCAGCCGCGGGACTCGCGCAGCTTTGGTGTTGAACAGACGACCATCCCCCAAACGACCACTGCCAGAGGACGGAACCCCCATCATGTCAAGCTACTAGTAGCGTCCTTGCTCCTAGTAGTACGGCCAGGAGCCCCTAGTAGCTTCTTGTTCCTAGTAGCGATGCCAGGAGCCACTAGTAGCTTTTTGTTCCTAGAAGCAAGAAAAGGCTTGCATCAACTCCCTCGCTCTTCTTGGATCAGCCGCAAGGATATCACTTGTCAGAGCTGGTCTTCAGGCAGGGCCATGATTGCAAGACCACAGAACACTTGATAGGTGGTTTATGCAGGTTGGAGGCCATCGCTAGTAGGTTGGTTTGCTATGCTTGTGTTGCTGAGAGAATGCAGCAAGCACATCAAACCTTTGGACACCAGGTAGGTAGCACTGCCAGTGGCGCTGTACTTGCATTTCGAAGACCAGGCTCGATCATGTCCGATCTCTTCTCTTTTGACTTGGACCCCTTGCAACCCTGTTCGCAGGTGACCCTTTATTCATGGTTACTCTTGAGAATGAGGAGTCAGCATCCTGACAGCTACATCAGGGCACAAGAAATTAAGAAAGGAACGACGTTCAAGAACCCATCCTTCCTTTTTAATGAACAAGTTTCCTTTAAATGATTTTGACGTCGCGAAAGGTTCCCAATGATCCTTCGAAAGGTTGCTGAGGCTATATAAGTTGATAAGGATTAAGCTGGCAAAAGCAATTGCCATGCTCGGGCTGTGAGCATGCCTTCAAAATTGAAAGGTTGCCAAATGACGTTTTGATATGCTATCAAAAACCTGGGCAAGGCTATATGGAAATAAGATGAAATAAGCGAGTTGGCTGGCTGTTTGCGATTGCGTTTTGAGGGGTCTTCAAAAAGTATTGAAGCATCGGTGGCCAATTTCTTTTTCAGAGGCCCTCAAGATTCAATCAGATGTTGTTTGCAAATTGGTCGGAATATGCAAGTGGGCAGGTTTTGAGGGACGTGCAAAAACCCTATTTGGGAGCGGCACTCGCGGGGGTGAGCCTGAGGCCTCCCACATGCCAAGTATGTGTGGAGCACTCCGCCAACTACCCTTGCATAGTGGCTGTGCAAAAAGAACAACGAAACAAAGAACAAAAAGGAAAAGGCAAGGGAAGGAAGACAAGGAAAGGAAGGAAAGACAGAAAACGAAGCGGCAAGGGACAGGAGGAGAGGAAAAGACATCATGTTGAGGGTCTGTGAAAATGCAATTGTGCCGGTAAGGGCCGGCAAAATGCAATCGGGGGTCGGTGTTCTCACAAAGCAATTAGAGAAATTGCATTTTGAGAGGCCTTGTTACTAGTAGCGATGCACTTGTTGGCCTTCAACAAACAATCTGGGAAACATTGGCAAATTGCATCTGAAGGGCCTGGCAAACATGTTTCGGATACACACTGGGTGGGTGGATAAAGTATTCTCTGAACATTCTATATAAAAGATTGAACCCCTTGGCTCCAAGAGGAAGAGGGCCTGGAGCCAATGCAGATCGAAAAGGGCTACAAGGAGCCGATCACCTCCAAAGCGCCCGCCCATACACATCTGGCAGCCGCACCCTGCAGCTGCATCTTCCTGTACTTGAAGTAAGACTTCCAATAGCTATCGCTATTTCGGGAGCAATTGGCCACTGACCTTTGGTTGCTTTTGAAGGCTTCTCAACATGCAGTTTCACGGACGTTTGCTTTCTCTTGAAGTTTTGAAGACACCAGAAAATGCAATTTGGCCACCACTTGAGACTGTTTTCAGAAAGCCTCTCAACATGCTATTTGGCTAGCAACCTTTGGTTGCTTTGAAACCGCATCAAAATCCAATTGAGCACCCCCTGAAAACACAATTTGGCAACCATCCTCTAATTGTTTTTGAAGGCTCCGCAAAATGCAATTTGGCAACCGAACTCTGATGGTTTTTTTGATGTTTTTTGCCAAACGCCCTCAAATTGAATGTGCTCACAGCACTTCCATTTGCAATTTGGCCACCGACCTTTGAATGCTTTTTTAAAGGCCTTCAAACATGTTCCACTGACCTTAAAATGATCTCAAATAGCTTTGCTATGTGGGATCATGTGGGATCTATGCGCCACCAAATGTTCAAAAATCATTCAGGGGTCGGTGGCCAAATTGGATTTTGAGGGCTTGGAACTAACAACACTCCTAGCAAGGAATTCTGTGACAACACCAGCGATGGGAGACCGCAGGTCGCCAACGAAATGCCAATGTGGTCGTCGCTGGAGAAAACACAAAACATAACACGCACGAAAGCTTGCAGAAACTGTGCGAAGGTTTTGCGAAAGTCCTGGAAACAAGAACTTCGGAACTTTGAACAACCCCCAAGCCCCATGTTTTGAGTTTAATTACGTCAGTTACGTCCAAAAGCTTGTTGCAAAACTTCACGAGACTCATCTCCTGAGGTGGACACTGCCGTTGCAGCAGTTTTCGAAGACTTTTCAGACGGATCTGCAAGTTGGGTCAGTCCTGGCCATGTTCAGCGAATGGTGCAAGCCACTGAAGGCCTTCGGACAAAGCAAGCAAACGGCAATTAAGTCAAGCACGTTTTGACCTGGTGGAAACGGGTAGGCATACAAGGTTCATAGTCCGAACAGACTGGTTGAATGCACCAAATTTCATCCCTTTGCGATTTCTTATTCGGGCTTTTCAGCTAGGGTTGCATTCGTTTTGGAGAGCATTGACAAACAATGGGACAAGACTTCCCGAACCGCAGTTTGAAGCTGTCTGCTGTGAGAACAAAACGTATTTGCCAGAATACCTAAGTAAGTCGAGTTTTGCTGCTGAGTTTGCAGCTGTTTGTTCCCTGACTTTTGCTGTTTCAGGAAATGTTGACCTTGCCATACAAAAGCTCAAAGAAGCAGTGGCATGGAAGCGAGTCGACTGCAGGGGAAGAAAGTTGGTTGCCACTGCACCTGCCACTGACTAAATCCAAGAATGAGGATCACTGCCACCGACCCTTGTTCTATGTTTGTTTGTCGTTGAATCCTTCCATAATCTTCTATCAGTGCTACACAAAAAGATTGACACGTTGTAACAATGACACGCCGTATTTGGGGACTGAGGCGAGATACGCTGGATGGTTGGTTAAGCCAACAAGCCAAAGACCTGCCCACGGCAGAAACGCGAGTTATAGCCATTGGTCAGGACTCCAGGCGTTTAGTAGTTGCTAGCAGTTGAGCTCTTGAGCTAGTTTATATAGTGATGTTTGATGGAGTGATTGATTTGCTTGGTTTCCCCATCTGACCGATCTGGTTCAAGTGCTGAGGGTATCGAGAGTCCACTGTTTGAGATATTATGTACAGCTAGCCACTCAATCGAATCGCACATCTCCAGGCCCCTCGTTTACTCTGGCTGCGTCAATCAGCGGAAGGGCGAGGTTGCGGCCGTGATCTTGGCCTGCGTTTGGCATCAGGCTGTCTCTTTGGTCGAAGAAGACGAACGGTCCAGCAAAGTGGAAAGTGTTCTTTGAAAATCTAAGACACAACAAAACAATCAACACCGGAAGGCTTTGGAAAAAGCTGGCCCAATGACCCAGCTGCTTGGATGCAAAGCATGAACCACGTGCCTTCAAACTTGCCGCCTTGCCTTGCTCACCAGTTGGCCTTCTTGGCTGTGTTTCCACTGTGCAGCAAAGCTCCTTGCATCGTTTGGGTGATATTGGTTCGGAACATTTTGCCAAGCTGGCGAGCGACCGTCATGTTAGTTGCAACCTTCTAGTGTAAATCCCTGTAGCAATATCCTTTGTGGGGTCGGGCATACAGGGTAATCCTTGTATTGCTGTACGACACTGTTGGTGATTCTCTTTTGCCACTGTGTTCCTTTCCAATGCACTGCGAACACATGGTAGCGTTTGTCACATTCCTGCGTGCTCTGCTTTTTTGTTCTTGTGTTTGAAGGAAAAGTAGGGCAATTCAATTCAATGTGAGGTTGGACTATGTGCTTGATGCGCACGGCTATCAGCCTTTGTTAAACCTCAACATGATGCCGTACTTGAGACTGGCGCGCAGCCTCAATTCATACTTTGCTGAGCGGCTTCTTGGACAAAGCTTGTACTTGAGTGGCATTGAAGGCAGATCTACTGCTTGATCGTTCACTGAAACACAGAACCAAACCAAACCCACAAACCGAGCCAAGACATTAGACTCTGGACTCTGGAGTTGCACACATTTGTCAGAGCGTGTCAGAGCTCCACTAAGGTTTCATAGGATCATAGTGTTGGACATGCCAACGGTTCTATCTGTGCTCGTGAAGGCAAGTGTGGCCTGCACCGTGAAGAGAATCAGGGTTCTCACGATTGGACACTGTTTTGCCGGTGAATCAGTTTCAGCAGACGCCGAAGAGCAAACCTACACTCCGTCCACAACTTCACCAAATATTATATAGCAATATATAGCACATACTGCCCAGGTCCATTGTCCATGCCGTTCAAAATTCATAGGTGTGTAACTTGAAACTTGAAACATGCTGCAAACGTATCGTATTGTTCTGTTTGTTGGTCGAGGTCCTATCCGCCAAGAACGATTCCCCACTTTGAGCATGGGATCCTGGGGTCCAATCCTGTTAGTTGGAATGTTTGCTTGGGTCACTGCTGCGCGTCAAAATGTGTGAAGGGTTGTTTGAAATACGTGCAAGACTTGAAGTTGTGAGAAAACACTTCAGTGTGCAGTTGGATGCATTGAAGTGAACTGCGTTTTGAATGCGTTGCTGCAGGAGAAAGGTATTTTATAGGGTCATAGGGAATTCTTTCTCTTAATCCTTTTCCTTGAGACAGGCCATCGTGCCCCTGCTGCCACCAAAGACGCGGCAGAAGCTGTTTTTCGTGCGTCGGGATGATCCTGATTCCCTGCCGTTGGGATTGCAATGAGTTTGGGGTATGCCATCATGAATCATGTAGTCAGGTTAGCAAAATGTGCTTTGCATTGCTTGGGTTTATTTGAGGAACGCGCTATACGAACTCTGCACTGACCAGGAGCTAGAGCTTTCGATTATGGTAGACAACCTTGGACTTTACAAGTCCAATCCAGCAGCGTTCAATCATTCAAGCACCACATGCTTCAGGAGATGAAAGAGATGATGGAAAAGCTTTTGGCTGCGAACGGGGAGGCCTTTTTGTGCCGCTTTTCGTGGTTTGTTGCTTTGATCTTGCACCAAACAGGCAACTTCGAGCAGCGGCCGCGAAGCGACTCGTGAATTGACCAATCGTTTTCTCGCTTTGCAAGAGGCAAAGCATCAGAACGGGGTAGAGTAAAAGCGAGTGCAGCGATGCGCAGCGATGCGCAGCGCGGGTGTTCAGTTTTGAAGTTACAGCTATTTCCTGTGGCTTGAAACGCTTTGGTGATCTTTGGAAGAGCCTTCGTGGAGCATGTGTTCAGTCTGATGAGTAATTAGAAGCCACTCAGACAAGTGAAAGCAACAACAGTTTGACTCTGACATTGGGACTCGGAAAGTTTGGTTATATGCTAGGATGTCCTGAAGTTGAAGTCGAGTCTTTCTGATTCATTTCGATGTATGTTTTTGTTTGACGTGAGACCAGCGCATCAACATATGCCGAAGGGATTTGGCCTTTTTTTAGACGGGGTATTGACTGATGAGGTCCGTTGTTTTGTGGGGCTTTTGCATGCTTTCGCCGCTTGCCACGTTCCTTGAGGCCGAACGAGTCAGACGTTACATGATGAAGCAGAGTGGAAATGTGGAGCCGGCAGGAGGCATCAGCACCGGAATCAGTGACAACATCGACATTATATAGATATGATTGATATGACATGACCTGTGTGGGAAGGCTGAGCTGCTTTTGTTTAGGAAATGTCTTCAACTGCGGACTGTTCGCATCACGACTTGCGAGCCTCGTTTGGCATGATCAATAGAATCATCGCCACAAACATCATCTCGAGGTGCCTCATTGAAAGGTCTATCATATAGTTCGTGCTTGTTTAGCAGCATGATAAAGATATGACAAGGTCTCAACGTAGGGAGCGTAAAGGTAGAAAATGGTATAATGATACTGCCTTTGCTGCTGTTCAAGCTACTGTCTCTTCGGTTGCAGTGCCAATTAATTGTAGTGGACTCTCTACAAGCGAAGCTGATGTTGGTTAGAGTTTGCCCAAAAAAGGGATGCCAACATCCTGCTTGTTCCAGGAAGAGGGCTTCAGAACGATGCTTCACTCATTCTGGAGGCATGTTTTCGTGTTTGCGCTCAAATCAACAAAGCGTTCTTTTTGGAAGCAAAGAAGCTGATGAACACAATTGCCCCCAGGACTCAGTGCGGGAGGAGCCGAGCCAATGCGACAATTTTCGATTCCATAGCAGCACATTTTTTCATGGCATAGACTTGCTTTCTTGTGATGATGCTCAAAGGAGGTTTTGCGCTTGCAAAAGAAAAAGTCGACCAGGCACGAATTGATTGTCCGAACATGGTTAGGGCCTGTAGGGTTGTTCCGTTCATCTGCAGGGTCTTGTAGGGTTGTGAGGGGGTAAGACCAGCTACGCGAAGCGGCACCAGCGACGCGCGGTTGCAGCTCCCTAGCCGGCACGCTAATGCTCCCCAAGCGCGTGAGGTTTTGGCAGTCAGAGCGGCTGAAAGTCGAGGTGGAGGAGCAAAGATGTTTTTCCACAAAAACTGGACGACGAATCACTCCCTGTAAAAGGGCAGTGAAGTCCTGAACCCAAGTCCTGGACCCTTGCTGCCACTGTACGAAGTGGAAGTGGTGCTGCAAATCACTGATGAAGTCCATTGAGTTGATGCTGCATGATTTGACGCATGAATATGTATGACTTGCGCATGGCTTTTGCCAGTGCCGGTTTCCCAGAGACACCGCAAACAGATCAACAAACACCCGAACGGTGGTCCTGAGGAGCGACGCACTTCGCAGGAGAAGGCCAGTGACGAATGCCTTTTCATGTCACATATGCACATGCATGGGTGGGGCTATGTGGGGCTCAAGGCTCAGATGATTTTCACGAAGCTCACTTGGGGCTAAAGCTGTCATCCCATTTCACTCATATTTTAAGCCACCAAAGAGACGTGGACATGCGTGGACTCTTGTTTGTTTTGCAACTTGAGGAATTTCGTGTGGTCCTGCTCTTGGAGGTCAACACCGTGCCGTAGATACGACATGTCTTTGTGGGTGGCATTCCGCAGCTCAGCGAGTCGTGCCCTCGCGCCGAGTCGTGCCAGGCACCACTTTGCAGGTTCCTGGTGTGCCTCCATTGAGGCGGCCACTTCGGATGCCTGTGAGCGCGTGCTGTGGTATTTTGGCATTGGCGCACGGGCACCCAGCGATGCATTTGAGATTGATGCTAGGTCTCCAAGGTTTTAAAGAGTTGTTTGTTGCACTTTGTTTATTGGTGTTCATTGGTGGTATCAAGACGAGATCTAATATAACTTAAAGTGCAACTTGGCAACTTCTTAAGCTTCTTTTGAGCTATGTAACATCATGCAACTGTTCTCATTTCGTTTCTTGCTTTTCAGCTTCATCCGGCCAACATCTGAGGATGCCTCAGCTTTTCGCGGTGTTCTGAATGCAGCAGGCAAAGCTGCGGAGCAACCACCTCCGCAGCAACTCGTTCAGAGCAAGGTGGGGCCTCGGCGGACCACACGGTTCCGGGCTTTCCACTAAGCGGAGCCACGCAGTTCCGCGTTGCCAGGACTTAGCGGAGGACAACAGCCCTGGAGGTGTTCGAGACCAAGAAAGAACAAAGTCGGATTTGTTCAACCCGCCAAAAAAGCGGAAGAAGTGATCCTTGATGTTGATATTATTGACCCTATAGTAGCTACAAAAGGGTAGTATTCCGTACTTGTCCAAGTACATGTGCCTTAAATCTTAGCTGCTTTGCACAACTGACAGACTCTCCAAGAGTTTTGTACTGAGGCCTCTTCAGCCGAGCGCCCACCTGTAGAGGAGAAAACGATTCTCATGCAGGCAACAATAGCCGCTACTTTCAAAAGTGCTTGTTGTGAATGTTGAGTTGCACGTGATCAGAATTGCACGTTCCGAGTAGCTATTGTATTAGTTTTTGTTTAATAAGTTTTTGAGAGGTACAAAACACCTTGCAGAAGACCTTCTCGAAGGACCGCCTGTGGTGCACCAGGTCAACATGTCGTGATGTTTTCTGTTGGGCTCAGGATACTGCTGCAGGCGAAAAAGTTTGGGCCGAGATCTCAGTTGCCCAAAGGGTCGACTTGAGTGATTCTTTTTGTTGGTCTTTTTGCATGGATGACATGAATGACAGACTCTTGAAGCTCACTGCTGACTGCTGTGGTGTCATGTTCATGAGAAGTGGATGAACCATGGCTAAGCGACTGCAGATCTCCAAGTCATGGCATTCAGACCTTGCGTAAGATCATCCGAGCCACCAACCGAGCCCCAAGAGATGTGGCAAAGTAAGATCTCGAGAAGGGAAGGATCAAGGATGCCAGCTTGCCCTTAATCATCACAACAGGCTTGCGAAGGTGCAAGAACCAGTCAAATCAGACCTGTGTCATTTGTTGGATTCTTTTTGTAGTCTTTACGATCTCAAGATCGTTCTCGCTGGTGGGGTTTGCTAGCTCCTGCTTTGCCATTGGCTTGGGCTCCCAGCCGTTGGTGACCCACTTTCCCTGCATCATGGTTGTTTGTAAATGTTTGCAGCTGCTTGTTGCATTCTGGGATGGCCCTTTGGGTTGCTCTGTGTGGTTGGAGCGCATCCAGCTGATTTGTGAGCGTGGCGCTTTGGAATAACGCCAGTTTTGTTTAACAAGGACACATACGAGCAAAAACACACAGAGGCATGCATGCATCTTCTCTTCTACAATTCGCCTGTGTACACGTCGAGGATGGACTTACCTTGATTGTTTGTTTCAACCAGAACTCTCACACTGGGACCATCGATTTGACCGAAATTGCTTGAAGAAACAGAATTCGTCCACAGTGGACTTCGAGCTGCCAGCGTCCGCAGCAGCATTTGCGAAACAGGAGTCGATGGAAGACTTGCAGACAAAAGGGGTGTGGCTGTCTTGCCATTTGACAGGGGCTTTGGATTTGATCTATGTTGATGTCGGTTTGTTTGGCCAAGCTACTGCTTGAATTTACGTATGACCCAAAGTGCCCACCCAGATCGCTTAAGTCACTTGCACACATTCTTTGTATCATCATCGTGGCATACAGAAGCAGCTTCTTCGAGCTTTCGACATGTCAAGGTGTGGACTTACAATGCATCCCAAGATGATCCACAAGTCTTCCGCGCGATTGCAGAGGCGCCTCAAACCCTCAATTGTGGCATTGTGGTGTATATAGTGACAAAAGTGCTGATACGTCATGCTGGGTGTGGTAGATTGTTGTGCCACTAGCCACAACCGTACTTTGTCTTTACAGTGTTACAGGACAAATTGTAGAATAGCACTCTGGGGCGTTCCTGTTGTGTTTGCATGTTTTACTTTTTTCGTGAGTATGTATACTGTATACTCCAGAGCACAAGAACAACATGCCAGGTGCCTTCTTTGGGTCGAACATTCCAGGGCGACTGGTGCCGAGGCTAGGCCAGGTGTTGGCAACGAATCTGAAGGGCTCGGCTGGATAGGCATCATGGGCAGTGATAAATATAAAGATGTTTAAAGTTAAAAGTATTGACTGGACATTATAGGGCACCTTCTTGTACTACGATGCAGTGAGAAGAAGCAATTGTACTGGATGGGAGGCAAGAAGCTGGCGCAGAGAAACGCGTGTCTTGCACGAGCCCGAGCAGTGTTAGACCTCGTTCTGTCAATGAAGTCAGCACGCACGGATCTGCCAGTTCTTGATCCAAGTCACGGGAGAGACGTGGACATGTGCGTGCACTTTCCTCGTCGATGCGTCACCAAGGCAGTGAAAGCGTACTTGGAAGCCCTTCAAAGTGAGACCTAGGTGCTTTGGCTCCTAGGTTTGAGAAAATGGCTTGGACGAATAGGAAGAACCCGAGCCAAGTGAGTCAAGAGGAGAAGGACCATGAGAACGGATTCTTACATGATCATGTTATGTATTGGCGGCTGTTTGGTCCGTGGTGATGTTTATTCAGGATGTGTCGAGGGACGCTGAAAATTGATGAGTAAAAGAGCAGCCCATGTTGCTCTTGCTGATAGTAACACGCCCGGGACGCGAGCAAGTCTTTGAGAGCTTGCAGGCCAAGTATTTCTTGTAGGAGTCAAGTGAACTAGAAAAACAACAACTCTCTTTCAGAGGACTTGTCCAAGAATTGTCCGAAAGAATATCTTTCATGTGACCCTAAATTGTTTGAAGCTCTGCAACCTGCGTGGCCCAGCTCAAAGTCTTAAAGCTCGCACTGAGTTGTGAGCTCGACGATATCTGATGGCGAACGGTGTCTCTTTGCCAAGTCGCCCAGGGTGGCCCCCAGCCGCAGATGACAAAAACAGAATGTTCTTAAAGGATGGTTTGGCCACTGTTGGTAAAACCATGTATATAAGTCGGCTGTGGACCGACACTGGTTGGCGGCCACCCTGTTCGCCTCTGGCCCGAATTGTTTGCCAAGTCAGGCATCAGCAACATTTGCTTCCAATGTGAGGCATGGCAGCTAAAGGCACAGCCGAAGGCTACCAGTTGCCCCGATTGCCCGCATTTCGGCCCAGAAAACACAAATTTGAGGCTTGCAGCATGTGTTCTGGTTCTGGATGTATTCGCCAACTGCAATAAGGGATGTATGGCATTCAAGCAAATTCATCTGAAATAATCTGAAATATCCGAGTGGGTTGGAACAAATCATTGGGGGTTAGGGAAAGCGACGGGTCTGGTTGTCTTGAATAGAAATCTTCACATGAGCAACTCCAGAAGGCCTTGAAATCCAATCGGCTGATTTCACAGGCTCATCACATGCAATGCATACGGGGGTCAACACACGAATTTCAATGAACAAGTTTAAGTGATAGTTGGCCTTTTGACCGAAGTTTCCCAGTAGCCACGGAGCCTTGTAATCTGCCAAATCGTTAAGGAGTTGGACGTCAATGAAGGTACAATGAGATCTGGACATGTTTTGTTAGAGTGGCCACAAGTTGAACTTGACTTGCCATGTCTGGAATCCTTGGTATCTCACCACGTTTGTTCAGACTGCCAGCAGCTCAAATTCTTGCAGCTGATTGGACGTGGGGAAGGTTTTAGCCTGAAATGACCCGTGTAGCTGTTGCCTGTCGAGGTCTGCAATCGTGGTACTGCTTCATGGTATTGCAGCGGTATGCACCGAGTATGTTTTTCAAGTTGAAGGCTGGGGGACACTGCCGCAGTAGCTACTCAGCTACTCACCGCGTGCGGGTGCTCCAGGCTTCGCTTTCGGATTGTTTTATACATTTCTGCAATGATGCTCGGAAAGCAAAGATGGATGCTGTATGTGTGCAAGATTTGCTAGGAAATATGCCACAACCTGTTGATACTGCTGTGGCCGTGCTGTAGCTAAGGTTTCACTTTTGCAGTCCTGGCGCTTCTAAAGTCTGTCGTGTCAGGATTGGACAAGGGACATTTCCAAAGACACAGCTTGGCTGCCTTGGCTTCGTTTTCACAGGTGGTCTCCGTTTGAACTCATGGGCTATTCGGGGTCCAGTTCTTGCAGGGCAGCTTGAATTGCAAAGGTGTCACTTTTGTGTACAGCGGCTTTCAGTCGCTTGCAAGCTTTGGCTGCATTCTGCTTGGTTTTATGCACGGTCCTAGGCTGTCAATGACCGTGGCTTGGCTGGTATTTGATGTTTGTGCTTGGGTGAGTGCAACATGTGCTGCACCTCAAGTGAGTCCAAGGTCTCGCATGGTGCTGGCATTTTATCCTACTTGGAAGTGAACTACACAACCGCGATGATTTTCAAAAGCGCAAAGGTCCCAAGTGCTTCTTGGTAACACGCATCACGACTCCTGCGAGGCTCCGGCCATTCCAGGATGTACTATATATTATATAAGTACCATACTCAGTCATAATTCCCATTGTTACATCTAAATCCAAGTCCCTATGGCCCTATTTGGTAAGCAAGCTAGGTCTACAATGAAGAGTAAAGATACAGATACTGTCAAGAGAACAGCAGCAATCGTAGTTGTGATAACAGCCATACCGTTCAGTCAACAAGGATCCCTTTTGAGATGTGATGCTGTATACAGTGCCACTTTCTCTTTGTGACTTGGGGGCTATGCCGCGAACCATGTTGCCTTTTGATGCCTTTTGTCTATCCGAGTCCATCCTTGATGCATCCCTCCATCCATGTCCATTGCTCCACTTGTCCATTTGTCCATCAATCTATCCATCCACTCATCCACACATTTGCCATGCGCGGTTATAGCTCCGCCTTCGATGGGCTCCCTGTAATATTCGTCAATGTCCGCGACAAAGACCCGTCTCCTCGCCAGCCCCACTCCGATAACCTCAGAATCGCTTCCCTCTCTGAGCCTCACTCAGCATGGCTAAGGATTTGGAGCTCACAGCAAGGAGTAACACCAGTTGTGGCCGGAAGGTGAAGCCCCCAACAGCCTGTGGGTTGAACTCCTCTTTGCTTCATCCTTTGCAGCGAGCCTGTCTCGCTTCTGCTTCGGCCAATCTCGCGTTGCTTCATCCGCATAGCCAAAGATCGCCAGTCGCGACTAGCTGAAATCATATTTCGTGACTTCTCCGGGCTCCTTATGATAAGGACCTTTTTTTGACATACAAACTTCGTAGCTTTCGGTTCCACCCAGGCCTCCGGTCAGTGTTGCTTCCCACGACCTAGTGGCCTTGTAGCCCACTTGCCTTGTCTAGGTTGTGCTGGGCGGCCGATGGATCAACAAGAACCAGACTATGTCTCACGAGATGTTCTGGGCAATTTGCATGATGTGTCTTGATTTGAAGTCTCTTTGTCATTATATCAGGAAGTTTCAACTGCGAGTTGGGTTGTGCGAGCAGTTTCATGATTTGTCCCGACCAGGATTGGGCTGCTTCTCTTTGGCTTGGGTGATGGCTTGGAATCAGCGCGATTCACCGGCTTTGGGCTGCCAGGCTTTGAATACTGGCGACCGACAACGGCACATGTCAGAAAAGATATTCTTCTCATGCCGAGGCTTGTCTTAATTGCCATCAACCTGGCTGGCAGCACCCTCACAGCAAATCTTCAACAGAAAGTCTTGCAGTCTCCTGTACCTTGCTCAGTGCCTTGGAAGCCGAAACGAAATGAAATGAACCTGTTTTATTGGGGTCCATCGTTAAGAGGACTAGAGGGCTGTTTGGTCTCAGTCGGCCCTGCTAATGTAACCTTTTGTTCCTCACAAGAAGATCCGCGAGGCCTACCGCAAACAAGCCGCAAGCGCTGTTGCCAAGGTTCAAAGTATGATGCTGGTGCAATATGCTGCTTGGTAATGCTTGGTCCAAAGAAGCCTCGATCTTCAACTAGGAGCAAAGGGCATCGCTAGTAGGAACAAGAAGCTACTTGGAGCTCCTGGCATCGCTACTAGGAGCAAGGACGCTACTAGGGGCTCCTGGCCCTACAACTAGGAGCAATGGACGGCTCCTGGTCTTACTACTAGGAGCAAGGACGCTACTAGGAACAAGTGCCACGCTAGTAGTAACAGGTGCCTTACTAGTAGTAACAAGAAGCTACTAGGGGCTCCTGGCCTTACTACTAGTAACAAGAAGCTATTAGGAACAAGTGCATCGCTACTAGTAACAAGTGCCTTACTACTAGTAACAAGGACGCTACTAGGAGCACCGGGCCGGGCCACCAGGGTCGTTGCTTTCGATCCGAGGCAGCAGCTTCTGCTGTTCTCCTCCTTTACATCGCTAGCACCACAGATGCTGAGTGGCAACAGATGCTACGCTTTTGCTGTTCTTTTGGATTTGACACCACTGCAATCAACATCAATTCACCAGGTTTGTCTCACAATGAGCGGCCTCCCAAAGCACTTTTGCGAAAAGCTTTGTGTGATTCGAGAGACCCATTTTGTCAAGGAGCTGTCGAGCGCCATAATTTGGTATCTCGACAATTCTTCCGCATTCTTCTACACAATGCTGGACAACTTGTTGACATACATTGGCCATGCACTCATTTGTCCAAAGCACGATCCACATGCAGCGCAGAGTGCCTAGCTGCACACTGTATAGCAAACCTTCGTGACAAAGTCCCCCAAAACCCTGCATACTGCAATATCTGCAATGTTCATCAATATGTTATGTTATATGGGCTGTCTTTTCAGGAGATCCACCTGATGATGAACAACAAGGGTCTCTTTCTCTTTTTGATATTTTTGTCTAAGGCTTGGAGGCCGTGATGCGCATCACAAAGGATTTTGATGCCACCAGAGCTAACGTCGTTTGTTCAGGAAGGAAAGCGCCGCTTGGAATGCAGAATGCGCTGCAAACATGTACTTCGAAGTCCAGATGCCAGCAGTGCAAGCAGCTTCTGCTTTGTTAGTTTGTCAGGATTACCTTTCTCTTCTCATATTGGTTTTTCCCAAAGCCCTTCGGACCATTTCATGCGCTGCTTAGCTTTCAACAAGGGGCTGAGGGAACCGTTTCGCCTGCCTTCCTCTTGACTGTGTGCTGCCCAAGGCTTGGCTTGCTGTTGACACTCGTGGGTGGATGGAACTTGCAGCGAGTGAAGTGGAATGCTGAAAGTGTTGCAGCTTGTCAGCTTCAATCACGTTTCAGCTTGTTCGTGGCAACCTGAGCTCGCCACCAATCGTAGAAAGATTCATTTGGATTCATTTCTGCAGCTCTTTAATCGAACCAATTTGAACTCATGGATTTCATGGCACTGTAGAGTTTAAGACCATGGCAGAATGAAAGACCTTGCAACGCAAGCAGCTGGCTGCAGTGCAACCTTGCGCACTGGTGCACCGACGGCACACTACCAGCACCGCCTTGCAAGCATTCTGAATCATGTAAGTTCTTCGGCATCATGTGCCAATTGCAATCAGGCAGGAATCAGAAGCCAATCATCTCAGAACGATTGTTATGTCTTTCGCCTGTGGCTGTGCTCATGCAATTCAAGACATGATCATTGTCAGTGATTGTGGGTCTCCTGGGTGAATGAGAGAGATCACATTGATTTCCCCCCTCGCAGTGGCAACAATAACCTTATGCTAAGACCCTTGAGATCACTTTGACTTTTCTCCCCTGGTTCCCACCTGCCAATCCAAACAGCTCCCCCAAAAGTAGGTTGATCCATACACCGCTAGGACAAAAGCTGTTTTTCTTGAAGGTTCCAAAGTGAAAATCGGTCAAATTTCTACTCTCCAAGGCTGTTTAATTGTGATAACTTAAGGCGGGTGACAATTGACAGTCCCACATTGGCCACGCAAAATGGACTTCGTAATTCGACCGGGGCTGATCCACATGGATGTTTTAAAGACCTGGTAACAAGAAACATACTTTCTTCCTTGTGATTGTGAAGTAAGGACCACGACTAGTTTCTCGCCACAAGTCATCAGTGGTTGGTTGCTACGAGTAGTAAGGGTGCCAAAGTTAGCCCAGGGTGACACGGCTAATTCAAGACCAATCATTTCAGTCAGGATCGCTCAAGCCGACATCTTGTAGAATGTTTTTTTGACACTGGTGCACCTGGTAGGGTACCATGGTTTTATTTGGCCAAACGAAGGTAGGCCTAAGCATTTCCAACAAGAAGAGAAGGTGGAGAATGCTTGGCATACAGTGGCTGCAGCTACTTCAGACATGTTCAGATTGAAATCCCTCCTTGGCGGTAATAGAAGCTTTTGCCGGAGATGACCTGAAGGTCAGACCTGGGCAATCCGGAGCGCCTTGAAACAAGTGCTGTGGCAGGCCTGTCAGATGTGTCTCAAGTGGCGGTGCACTGCGCTTCGCCCATTGGCAAAGCAAGCCTTTCCTTTCCTCGATCCTCATAGTATCAGGTGCGTTTCCGGCTTTGCTTTGTGTCGTTCTTTGCAGGAGGCATTACACTCATTGTGCGACGGTGAAGCAGATGCGGCAGCTGTGAGCTGGGCACCCCAGATCGATGACTTGAAGATTTAGCCAGGTGGAGTGCATCAAGTTGGGATTTGATATTTGCTTCCCATTCATTGCTTTTCACGGGCCCGGTTGTGTTTCTTGTTCAACACACTTTTGCCGACAGTTCTTTTCGAAGCTCTTCTCAGGTGCGACCATCACAGCTGCCGGCAAAGGGTCTCGTTGGGAGATAGCTTTAGCTTTGTATCAGAGTGCCTCAGAAGAGACAGGATGGACAGATGAGGGATGTCCGGCCTTGTTCCTGTTACCCAAACAAGCCCCTGTCTACGAACCACTTATATAGCCACCAGGCAAAAACCTCTGGGGGTCCACAATGTGGTTCAAGATGCGCATGGTCAATTGGTCCAGCAAACAGGAGAGAGAAATTTGAGCCTCGTTTGAAACCCCCATGAAGAGTTTGTGTGTCATGCAGCTGTCCTGACAGCCCCCCGCGAAAGGCAAAACTCAAGTCGCGAAAGCTTCGAGAAAGCTATTGCAAAAGACATCACAAACACATGGCTGCGAAAGGAATATCATTTTGGATGACATGTTTACTGTACACATATGTGTCCGCAGTCGATTTTTGGACTTCTTTCGCGAAAGGTCCCGCGAAAGGGCTGAGCAAATAGTGTATGCCCGCGAAAGGCAAAACTGTTCTCGCGAAAGGACCGCGATAGCCTGTTGCGAAACGATACTACGATTACAAAGCCAGCTCCAATAGGTTTTCGACACAGCTCATTTAGCATTTAGGCCTCAAACCTACTAGTGATGGCTTCCAGCCTAATAGCAATGGCCTCCACCCTACTAGCGATGGCCTCCAACCTAAGAGCGACGGCCTCCAGGAGAAAGACATCTATTGTTTAGGCACCGTTCCTCCTTGGCCCCGTCGGACTCCACACTGTGTGATTTGTGTGGCCGTCTTTCGACGTGTTCTGAGGCCATGAATTGACACTGCGTTTAGCCGGAGCTGCCCTTGGCGCATGTCGGGACCTTGGAAGAATAGGGCTTTTGGATGTGGATTAAGAATCTGGAAACCACACTAGTATTCTTGATGGATGTTTTTACAGGCTATCATTCAATTGTGTACTTCGCCCCAGGTTTGCCGCAGATTCTTATGTTTTTTCCGGATGCCCTAGCCTTCAAGGACCATTACAAAGAAAGGTCGACCTGGTTTTGTAGTCTAAAATGCTTTGTAATGAAAAGCAAAGCAATGGTTGTGTGGTAAAGACCATTGAGACAATGGTTATTGGAGTTTCAGGAGGTGTAGATGAAAACTTGGAAGAAAAAGCAGCCAGAGGGGAAATGTCAGACTATTCTGATCATACTTGAAGTGTACATTGGTAGACCGAGCTCCATTGATAGCTTGATTTTTCTTTTGAGGACGGGCGGGGGGGCAAGGCGAGTTTTTCCAATTGACTGGGGGTCAGCATTGACCACCAAAAGGACATATTGAGCACCCTGCTTGGACCTCCGGCCACCATGTCCGCCACACAAGGCGCGGCTGGCCGGCAGTGGCAAGTGGCCCTTAGCCTGCTTCAAGAGATGCTGGGAGGCCCAGGGTTCAGGAGAAGCTCTCATTCTGAGACATGCTTGAGGGCGTGCCTTAAAATGAGAATGCCAAAACCACTGTTCAGTGGGGAAAGTAGGAAGATACCAAACCCTTTCAAGAGCAACCCAAATCATGAAACCGTAAGAGTATTGCTGGAGAATCATTGTGTTTTCCTGACTCGTTTCGTCAACTCTGGGAGGCCTCAGCGAACCGTCCAGCCAGATGCAGCCTGCTTCGGAATTGTGGTGCGGTCGTCAGTTTGATTATTGATCACCCCAAAGAGGATTGGAAGAATGCACGGAAACATTCGGGGTTCTCCCCGCTCTATCCGCTCCGTATTTAAACAGCAGACAAATAAGAAAATAATTAGATTAACAATGATAACGAAACTAACTACACAAAATTACATATATATATATATAATACGCATATAATTTATTGCTGTGTTTACACGCTATGTTGATTTGTTTCGTTCAGTTTGCCAGGGACCCACGACTGTATCCCCTTGTCAGTTGAGAAAAGCGGAATTGGAGGCTGGCTCCTGTTCTTGAGCACTTGTGCAGGCTGGCTCCTGTGAACGTGTGGGTCACCATTCGTTCTCGTCCAAGCTGCTCGCAGGGGGGCCAAATGGGACGCTTCAACATGTGAAGTCTGCGGAGTGGGTGAATTCTAAAAGCAGGCCAGCCAGGCAAATGGGAATGAGATGGTGAAGAGAGGAAACCACGCGATGAAGATCAACCGATTTGCGAGGCGGACATGTGCAATGTGCCCGAAGCAACAACGCTCGCCATTGGTCGATGTCTTGAGATCGGAATGGGATGGTACTGCATGCAAGAGCGTGTTTTTCATGTGTCAAGTGAGCTGAAGTGGGGTACCGGTTTTGGCGATGGATACTTTGTGCGCATACAATTTGTAGGTTGATATCATGGGGATTTGAGAAGCTTGCACAATATTGCACATCCATTTGTGGATTTGAGATTGCAGACCAGGCTTTACTTTTGCTATGAGCGAAGCCAATCGCGCCAACTACTGGGAGAGCTGGGGTAAAGCGACGAAAATCGATCCAAGCCACCGGGCGTCATTCGTCATAGGACAGAATCACAGCAAAAGCTAGAAGCTAAAAGCATGCCCAGGTCTTTGCAGAGTAGCCGCGGTGGATAGTTAAGAATGTTTGCTTTCCTGTTGGCTCTCAAGACCGCAACCAGAAGCGTTGGTGTTTGAGGAGCGCTCCCTTCATTTGTTCAGCAGAGCCTGCCGTTTGCAACTCTCGTTGGACACAACCGCCTTCAGTGCTGCCTTGGCTGCCTGCCAGACAGGAGCTTTTTGCGCTATGTGCGCACTTATTTTGATATAGGTAGGATTGAGTCGGGCACGCCAGCCATAGATACAAGGAGCCAAAATAATGGTTTAAAGCAAAAAAAAGCAAAAGGTAAAGCAAACAAAAAAAGCAAAACAATGTAGCTGTGCGTGTTTGTCGCTTGTTTTCACTCTTTTTTTTGCCGCTTTATGTTCGCATGTTTTTAGCATTGTTTCGCTTTATTATGTTTGCATGTGTTCGCTTTATTTTCGCTTTTTTTCCTAGGAGCGTACAGCAAATATTGCTGACGGGTAAAAGTTCTCATAAGTGCAGAAGTGGTACCAGGAAAAAAAACAAAAAGCAAAACAAATGCAAACACAAAGCAAATTGCGCTGCTTTTGCATTTTCATTTGCTTTTATTTTGCTTTTCTGTTTTTTTTTTTTCACAAACACATTATTTGATGGTTGGTCATGTATGGCTGCCATTGCTCAACACAAAGGTAGGATTGATCATCAAGGGTCATCATTCATTACTGCTTTCAAGCATGCTGTGATTTCTTGACTAAATCTTAAATGGAACGACTTTGCTGAATCCCATGACATGGAGCTGGGCAGGATCCGCCTGGCATCAGAGCTTAGCGATCTTGCACATGCTGCAGGACCAGGCAGCTTGCCGTTGAATGAACAGGTGTATCACATTGGTCCCAAAGTTCAAAGTGCAACTTGTTCAGGTTTGGTCATCTAGCCCTGGAAGCTTGGTGGTTGCCTGGGCCACAGCATGAGAGAACTGGCATCCAATGCCAGTTCAACAGATATCACTTGCAATCTTCCATTCAAAAGAGCATCTGTGGTCGCTTCGGCGGTCTCCAAATGTTCTACATATCCAATGAACCAGAGAAGGTGATGTGCATTTGCTCTTTTCCTCACCAATTTGAGGCATACTCTGCGGCCATTGGTGCCTGTGTGCACCGCGCGAGAACCTCAGAGAATAGAGGTATCAAACAAACGCAAGAAGACTTGCTTCAGTACTGTACTGGATTCATTCCATCCAAAAAGGATCATTCGCGGCAATGTATCCTATGAGAGGAGGGCAATTTGTGTCTCGAAGCAGCGGCTGCCGTAACCTGTGTTTTGAGATCTCACCAGGGCCAATGGGCCTTGGCTCTCCGCTTGCTGGGACGATGCCAGCAAGAAACAGCACAGTTTAAAGAGGCATGGGCAAACTGCAAAAGTTGATCCACATTTGCTCGGCACTTGGGATGCCCATAGTTGTAGGCGCAGCAACCGCTGTTGGTTGCAGTGCATACTGCCTTAAGTGCAGTGGCGGAGACGTTGCACTGGGAGAAGGCTCGGGATATGAAGGGATAAACGGATAAACATGTTAAAGCTGTTCAAAGCTATGTGCAAGTGCACAGATTCCAAGGCAAGAGTGTTGCGCTGTTCCATTGTCAGGCTCTTGAGCTATTGCCAGAGATGGCAGAGGCAAGCATCAGCTTCCAAAACTGCTCCTCGCGAGCCTTTCACCTTTTGAACACCTCTTCGTTCAATGAAACAGGATGATGGCGTGATGTACTGTAGAATTGTGATGCTTTGTTGACAAGAAGAAACAGGCATCGTTTGGCCTAGGCTGAGGGTGCTGCGCGCCTGGCTGTTCAGCGAGCCACCAACGCTGCTGCTTTGGCATGTGGGCGAAGCGCAGCGTGGCAGAAGGCGCTCATGCCACGATTGGTGTCGCTTGGGAAGACCAATATGACAATGTGCAGATTCTCGTTCAAAACCCTGCTCTTCAGGCCTGTGCTCTACTGGATTTGCCACTGGTGTGCCAGGCGCAACATAGACCTGTTCACCGTGTAAAACCAACGCAAAATGCAGGCTGCGCACGGAGCCCACGCAGCTGCTTCAAAAAGCATTGGCCATGCTTTTGCCGCAACAGCCTGCGAGCGCTGCGGTATGCAAAGGCAGGAGAGTTTGGGATAGTTTGGGTGTGTCTTTTTTGGGGCGTGGTTTCGTAAATTCACTCAGAACCACTATATATATATATACCCTGACATGAGCCACATGTTTGTCATCCTCCATGTGTGAGTGATTTGGTGTTAGAATATGATTGATTATTATTGACGAAACACTGTGCAGTTAGCAACCGCAGCCCTGGTAGCCATTTTGGGCGATGACGTGGCATTTCAATCAAGCAATTGTTTTCGACTCATCTCGAAAGTTTTTTGGGTATATTGTTGCATTACTGTAATTATAATTGCATCCAACTATCTTTGATCTTGGGACTTCCCTCCTTTGTCGATGTTAGCAGAAACCGGATCAAGGGGTTGTGAGGTTTGGACACACATCCATGAGTTTGCCACATCCGATATCATCCGATAGATCCTCCTCTTCTGCACAGTTTGCCACAGCGGCTGCAAGCTGCTGCAGTGGAATGGACCCATGCAGCGCTTGGCTCGGACGTCGGCAGAGACAACCATGATCACGGTATGGGTCAAAACTGGATTCTGAAAGCCGTTGCGTGCAGTAGACCACTACTCGTTTATATTATAGTCTTATATAACGATACATTTTTCTATATGTACATTTTAAACAAGCAGTCATCCTACTTATTTATACATATATCTATATTTGCAACTCATAGCTTTCGCATGTGTTTTCGATTGTGCCAGAGAAATGCGAGTTAGCTGCGCCAATAGCTTGCTCAGCTTGCCTCCGGGTCCAGCACAAAGCTGGTGGCAGACACAGCGCCTGTGGTGGTGGTTCTGTTTGTTGCTCAGCGTCAGCTTCTGTGTGTAGAGATCCAAAATGATCCAAACAGTTGTCAGCAGTTTGTGTGCACAAGGCCATCGCTATTAGGTGGAGGCCATCACTATTAGAAGGTCTTTTTGCAACTTTCTTGTAATTTAATCAAAGTGTCAACCTCCGGGTTTGCGCCCGTTTTGTGGTCTCATGACGCACCGATTCGGCAATGGCCTGTAGCTCCAAGAGTGGCTGAGGGAAAGCAGTGGCCTTGTGCGCAGCTCTTGTAGGCCACAAAGTGAAGAGATTCAGAGTCCACGTGAGATTGAATGTGATGTTGATATATGTTCATCGTTTCTTTGACCATTTTCATGAGTTGTGCATGTTGACAATGGGCAACAAGGAAAACGTGTCAACGGTGTTATGGGTGTTTAATGTTTTTGCATTGGGCCTTGATGCATGAAAATGCACCTTTCACAAGGAAAATGCATACTTAATACTTAATCATGATTTGTCGACAGTTTTCGAGGGGTCAAATCTACTGAGGGTGCACATGTTTTTGTGTTTAGCGTTTTCACCACAATGGCATGGCATACCAGTTTTAAAGGACTGCAAAAAATCAAACTTGTCCCCCAGCAATCGCGGAACATGTTTGTCAAACGGACTTCTTCACGCACGAAGATGAACTTCATAAGACAAAGATGAAGATGCAGTGCATGAAATGGGGATGAAGATGAGGCTCATGAAGCAGATTAAGTTCATGATATTGAGATCAAATGATGGCGCAGATGATCCAAGCAACCCCCACCCAGCCCCCAACCCCCTGGTAAACAAAACGTCATGACTCTTGTGTGGTCAGTGGTCACTTGAACAACGGTACATCAGTAGAAGATCCAAAAACACCGTTGACACCGAACAGCTGCTTGCGGTACCCAGACAACTCCCTTGAGAACTTGAGATTTTCTGCCACCGAAGAATTTTTCGGGATCCACTTTAGCTCAATCTCAGCAGGGTGGCCCTGACCAAAATGAAAGTCACTTTGATCAAGAGGTTCTTCAGAACTGCTAGATCCCTCCAAGCTCATATGCTTTGGTCCCACTTTGCCAACCGTTCCCATTTGCCCACAAGGCTCTTTGCTCCGTTCCTGTCATTGGTGCTTCGAAGACTTCGGAGCCCTAGCAGAGCTCGGGATCTAGGTGCGGTGCTCATTGAATCACCATGTATTCCACACAGCTTGCAGCATACCTGGTTCAGTCTTACTTGTTTTCCTGTGACTCAGTTTTTCCAGGTCTTGCTGGCCTTGCAGACCTTGGCCTGGTTTCGGCGCGGCTGGTGCCCGGCTCTGAAGTCCCATCAACGAATCAACAGTCGATGCGTAGGACCGTTTGGCAATGAGACTCTCAGAATGTGCCAGAGCTAGGTGATAGCAGTTGTGACCTAAAACACATCAATGGTGCTTGTTGCTTTATGATTGTGCTTCTGTCGCTGAGCTTTTGGGCTCCTTGTCTGGAATCTTGAAGGTGCTTTCAAGCTGGATGTTTAAATCAGATGATGCAATCTGGGACCTGTGAGACCGAAACTCAGAACACAAGATGATCCAAGGCCCTCTGGGAGCCCCGATCGTAGCTTCTTGTTACTAGTAAGAATGCTCCTAGTAGCGATGCCAGGAGCCCCTAGTAGCGTCCTTGCTCCTAGTAGTAAGGCCAGGAGTCCCTAGTAGCTTCTTGTTACTACAAATAGCAATAATCCATGGCCTTGAACGATATTGCTGGACGATTCGACAGCAATGAGCTTGTGGCCATGGGGCCATGAACCTTGTGAGCGACAATGGCCGGCCTGGCAAAGAACGCTGCAGGGCAGGCTGATGCCCGTGTCTCATGAAGAAACCCGCTGTGCCGTGAGCATTGAGCAAGAAATCACAGCAATAGAACACTATTAATCAGCCACAGAGCCACTGTTTGGAGGTGGAGGGCTACGAGATTTTCATCAAGTTTTTGCCTCCTTCGGCCACAGCTGATGCGCTGAAGAGATTCTTCTCAGAGGCATCAAGACTGTGAATGTGTTTCTATATAATGTTTCTTAAGTCGATGTGGCTTGTTGGCAAGGCTGGCGACATTGTGGCTTGGCTGCAGAATTACAATCATTCAATCCCATCCAATCATAACTCAGGCCTTTTCAATTTGTTAGGTCGGAGAGCCTCGCATAATGCTTGACAGCAAGACCGGGAATTGCAAGGTTGGCGCGTCAGCGATGCTGGGATGTGGGTCGTCCGTGGGTCGTCCGAAGAACTGGCTGGTCGTTAGAAGCTACTAGGCGGAGGTCATCGCTATTGCTACTAGGGGCTCCTGGCATCGCTACTAGGAGCAAGGACGCTACTGGGGGCTCCTGGCATCGCTACTAGTAGCAAGAAGCTACTAGGGGCTCCTGGCATCGCTACTGGGCCTAATTATAGGAGCAAGAAGCTACTGGGGGGCTCCTGGCCCTACAACTAGTAGCAAGAAGCTACTAGGGGCTCCTGGCCGTACTACTAGTAGCAAGAAGCTACTAGAGGGGCTCCTAGCCGTACTACTAGTAGCAAGAAGCTACTAGTAACATGGGTCGTCCGTGCGTCCGAAGAACTGGCTGGTCGTTTGGTGCCCGGGGGGCCGGCGCAGCACGTGGTCAGGGCATCGCTTGGATCACATTCAGCAACAAAGCGGCCTTCGATGAGGCATTGAGTCAGCTCCTCAGGAAATCCCTGAATCCTTCCGAATTAACCGCACAAGCCAATGGGTGTCCATCAAAAGATAGGACAGATGGGCTTTGCACATCCACTTCTGGGTGAACTTTGTAGAATGTTCAGGCATTTGTTCCGATGTGTGGTGGGTCAGGCAATAGAATGATAAATTGATAGACATTCATATAAATTCTATATATGTTTGCTTGCAGAGTAAAGTCTCACTCAAGTCTCACTCGTTTCCACACATGCACAAATTCCATCACGTACAGACACCGATAGATTCTTACGTCCTGTAAAACGCATGGGATAGGGACGCTCCCAGGCTGGAGCGGGTGTGACTTCAAGGGCCGCAAGCTGGAGATCAAAGCTGGCAAGCAGCTATTTGGCACAGCAAGCTGCGCAAAGATGCATAGAGCCCGCGCAATCTAAGTCTAAAACAAGATGTGTGATGATTCAGTGTTGGAGTGCATGTTGTAATGGGCGTTCAACAGACTGCTGAGGTTTCACACCGGCATCCGGCCTTCTGTACAAGCGGCTGGTACACACACGCCAGCCCTTTGCGAAGAGGTTGTGAGGGCCTTGCGGGGTGAACCAGGCGCTGCAACACAAAGATGAAACAGCTCAGGTCAAGAAGCTGGTTTCACCCAATCCAGGCAGGGCTGAGGGGCTGAGACTGGCTGACACTCTTCCATATGATCTGGCAAAATCTAGTGCATACTAAAGTAGTCGCGGGGTGGTCTTGGGATAGTCGAAACCTGGGGGGCCGACCCGTCTACCGATGCCCTTTCGATGTACGAACCACTTAAGGAAGCACACTGCCACGCTACATTTTTACGCCAAAACTTGGTATGCTGCTCTTCTCAGTTTGAGTTGCTTACGCCAGTATAGTATACAATATTTGTTGCAAGATCAACAAATTTCCAACCACGGAATAGCTTTCTCACGGCACTGCCTTACCGATGCCCCAATCGATGCCAACCGATGCCCACTTTGAACATGTTTGTGTGTCCATGGAAGAACAACTTCACCACAACTTGTACAACGACTACTGCATTTGATTCGTGCCCTCACTGTTGGTGTGCCAAACTATGGCAAGCTTGATGCTGCCAACAAAGCTTGAAACTTGCTGAGGGTAACAAGTGGGCCTGCTTTGCAGCCAACCCTGCAAACCTGAAACCTGCATAACCGACGGGGGCCGACCCATTCTAGGCGGCAATGTCCTTAGGCTAGACACCAGATGTTGTCCGGCTTTGTAGCCGAAAGATTGTTTGGATGTTCGTTCAACTGAACGATGAGGTGGAATCTACGTTGATGGCACCTTTGGTCGCGGAGGTCACAGCCGAGCAATGCTGGCGGCCATGTCCCCCTCCGGGTCGCTGCATGCCTTCGACATGGATCCGGTGCCGCCGCCATGCAGTTCTCGTCACCGAGGGAATGCCCTAATGGCGGCGCTAGTCGGTGGGTGAAGTAGAACATACTAGTGTAAACTGCAGATATGATGTTCGAGGTCTTGGATGCTTCTGGTGAGCTTTCCATGTTTGCGCGGGGAGCCAGGAAGCCATTGCAGTGGGCAAAGAACTCATGCAGGCAAGGAACTAAAATCCGAAATTAATCAATATGATTTTGAAGGATTTTGAAAGCAATTAATGCACATAATATAGAGAGATATAGATAATCAATTACAAAATTACACATGTCATCAGCCTTTGAGCTTCGGAGAGAGGCTGACTCCCGCTTCACCATTCATCATGCGCCTTTCAGCTCGATGAAGGTGCGAGCGGGGACGATTGTGACGCTGAAGTGGCGGTTCCATTGTGTGCAGTTGGGGTTGGTTGAAGCAGATATATAAAGGAAAAGCAAATAAGAACATGAAGTGTATGGGGCAAACGACCATCCTGCTGTTTGTGCAGACTCTAAATGAGTCTATCATTTGTTCAAAAAGGGTTGCACGAACCTGTTCAAAGCATTTCAATTGTGTCAAATGTCAAATTGATTCCACAAGGCTGCCGCTTTGACCCAAATGTCAATTCCAGAACATTTCTGGTGGCTTGATGTGGACACCTTTCCATTTGAATCCATTTTACTGCTTGGTCATGCCGCTTCACGGTTGGATTGGGGATGTTGGGCAATCCATGTGCACAGAAGAAACCAACCGTGTGTCACCGAACAGATGATGTTTTACACCGTTGGATGTTGGTTGTCACCTCACCACCCAGCTCCTCTTGCCAGGCAGTCCTTAAGCCGCTGGGCGTGAAACCCTCTGGCGCCGGAGGCCAAGATTTTTGGTGTTCTTTGCATTACACAGGACTTAACCATTTGGAAGGACTGTTTCGAACACAACCCCGGTTGCACACAGCTGGACCTTTGTCACGAGCTCCATAGGTTCTGTTTGACCTGGGCATCTCCTCGCCCCAGTTTGATGATGCCGGCCGGGGGTTCCGTCCGGAGGCAAGGGATCAAGAGACAGTGAACTTTAAATCGAATCCACATGTATTCGACATCATGTCCATCTATTTGGGGACCTTTGTTTCAATGTTTGGTCATATTCTTCATCGCTTCAGTGACTGTTTAGTCTGGCCTTTTAGCCTGGAACCGCGGAGGCTGACGGACCCCTAGACCTGCGCTTCGACCAAAGCCAGGGTCTCACAGCCTGGGATTTCTTGATGTCTGCATCGCGAGAGGACACCAAGATTGCTGGTTTTGGAATCATGTTTTTTAATAGTCCGTTTGGTTTCGTTCTTGCAGAAATGAAGCCTAGGATGATAATGATACGCTCTTGTGTTTTGTAGGAGATCATCCGTGTGATCTCCGAGTTGCCCGACAGCAGCGTGTGATCATTTGAGTGCTGAAAGTCTGATAGACTCATTGAGATTCATGTCAAAGGTATGGTGAGACGTCAGATGCTGCTGCCTCACAGCGGATCGCAGATGTTCTTTGCTTGGCGCGCGCCCGCGAAGCCTTGCCGTGCCCCGTCGTTGGTGAGGCAAATTTTGCCTGGGCGTTCTCCGCCGGATTTGTACGACTTACTGCAGTGGCGGAATAGAATCATTTCAGCTCTATAGTCTCTAAGCTCATTCTGCTGAGCCTGAGCAATCTGAGGCAACGAACTCGCGAATTTGCAATGCTGGTGGCTCAGGGCAAGGCTCCAACGAAGATGTTTGCTATCATCATGATGTGCGGATATGCGCACCGTCTTTGAGATGCTCAGAATTTAACTGTACCTGAGAAGCATTTGTTATGAGTGATTATAAGATATATAACTGTCAAATCCGATTGGCAATGTATGTGCACCTATTTTGGTTTGGAGTTCTTCACAGTGATGACAGGGACCGGAATACCAAGCCATGCACCCTGCGAAGCTGACCTTTCAGGTTGGTTTTCCAAGCGATCTGAGCAGTCAGGGATTTGATCGACAGTCAGTCGCTTGCGGGTTGACCAACTTTAGGCCTTGCGCATCCATTTGAACAACGAGTTCTTATCTTAGCAGGAAGCAGAAAGGTACGAGTTCTCATCGGTTGCGGATTGGGTTTCGTATTCCAACCTCGGTTACGTCGAGGTTTGGCGAGATGCGATCAGGGATCCATGCTGCGTTAAGCACTCAGCATGAAGAACTGATGGGGCACCACTTTCGCAGAAATACCCTGAGCACTGCTTTGGCATGTGCTGGTGGCCTTGCACCCGATTGCTGTTTGCAGGTTTAGCCTTCTGAACGAGGGAGGCCGAATTGGTTTGATCTCCTGGAAGCACTCTGAGTGTGCGATCGTCGAGATCTCAGAGACAACACCTTTGAAGGGCCGAAGACACAAGGATTCAGGAGTAGACGATGTTGAATCACCCACTCCATGCGTTGAAGATGTCTCTCCAAGCTGAGATCATGGACATTTTTCGCTCTCTTGAAGCTGTTCGTGACAAGGAGATTGAAGTCCTCCAGAGACTAACTGGTCATTCGTGCTTTGTTCGTCCAGGAGCCCCTTCTAAAGTGGTACAGTTTCCTGGCGGCAAGCCAGCTCACTTCATATAAAGAATGTAAGGGAGATGTAAAATCAGTGATACGGTGACGTTGAAGATGAAGTTACCGAAGGAAGAAATCGAGAACGAGTGTGGCTACATGTGGACGCCAAGGTGCACAAGCTGCGGAACCACTTCCCGAGAGGTGGTCCATGGAGATGGACGAGACGGTCTTTGGCCTCAAGTCTTGGCGCATGATGTCAAAATGGATTCGATTGGATCCACGGATGTCAACCTAGCGGGGTTGGGGATTGTATCCTATGTTTGTCTCCTAGGAGTTTGGGGATGTGTCCATGTATTTCCATCCCTTGGCAGTTGCTTCCGCTGAGACCCGACCATCCGAGCGGGAGTTGCAGACCAACTCAAGATCTCGCTGCGTGGCTGCTTTTGGAGCTAGTGACAGGTCGTTCTTTCATTTGTTTCCGGTACTGTACTCCCTTGTATGTTTTGCTTTTCCAGTTTGGTTGTGAATCTCTGTGTGAGATGAGTGACTCAAGGTTCTGCTTTGCTCCATGTGTTGCGAAAGTGGCCTGGTATTGCAATTGGGCAGTCTAGGCCACCTTCACCTTCCTTACCCAGTGTGCATGTCTATCCAGTTGGCTGTTCACTTAGTTTGCTTTGGCATACTGTGCCAAAAGCACAAGGCGTCGCATGCCGCGGCTAGCTGACTTGGAGCAACTGGCATACGCTTTGCTCTTTGGCAGCACCGGGCTTCGCCTCGCTGGTCGAAGAACAGAAGGCGATTCAGAAACTTGGGTAAATTCCGACTCAGAAACTAGGCCGAAGGCTCGATTCAGAAGCTCACCCGATTCAGAAACTGCCAGAATCAGGAAGTACAGGGCGTCGCAATTCAGAAACTGCCGGGTCTTTGGGTGGGGTGGGGTGGTGTTGACGTTCCTTTGAAGTTGCAAACAGTGGGCATGGGCACGGGTGGCGTGGGGTGGTGGTGGGGAAGATTTACCCCTATGCGCCGGCGAGCGCGTTTCACATAACATGTTCGACGTCTCTTCTTGAAACTATTGTTTATTCCTGATTCATGTGCATTTCGTGTATCAACTTATCTATCAAACCCGGAAAGAAGCAATCAAAACACTTATATATAGAGAAAGCCATTCCTGATTAATGTGTTGTCCTCTTTCTCTCTCTCTCTCTCTACTGATCCATCCAGCCATCCATACCTTATATAATTGGTTTATCTATAAAACAGCTTTGCTGCAAGAAAGGATGCATATACTTAGTGCAATTGGAATGTCCAGGATTGGTCTTTATCAGTCTGTGTCTTATTAAAAAAAAGTTATTTTTACGCCTTTATTAACTGTGTTGATGTTTTTCCCTTACTCTATTAAATAGGACTTTAACAATTGAACACTGAAAAATCATTGATCTGGGAGATTGCTGTTTTTAAGCCCAACAGCGGGCCAGCACGGGAGTTCAGTGGCAAGCGGCAGGGGCAAAGAGGTGACACTTGCGCCTAACAATTGTATCAGTTTTTGTTTTTTTACATATAATGCTTAAAACTGATGTGTTTTATTGATAAGCTTTACGGGCACCGGCACAGGGTATAATCCTCTTAGGGGCCGGGGTGGGGTGGTGTTGATGTTCCTCTAAAACCGCAATTCCGGTTCATGCAGCAGTGGGCACGGGTGGGGTGGGGGGGTGTTGTTCCTCTGAATGTGCAAACCCTGTTGATGCTAGGGTGGGGTGGTGGTGCTGACGTTCCTTCGACATTGCGAACACATTTGATCCAAGTTGATGCCACGGTTGGGTGGGCAATAGGGGGTGTTACCTACTTTCCGAATTCACGCTCTCCCAAGTGTCCGAATCCGTTCCGTCCCTAGTTTCCGAATTCCGAATAGTTTCCAAACAAGTTTCCAAATCCGCCGTTGACCCTTGGTCGAGAAGTTTCACAGACTCAGACTTCTGGTGGTGCGTCAATCTTTGATTTCTTCAAGCTGAAAAGAATGTGCGGTTTTGACGGTCTTTGCTTGATTTTGTTTGCTTGTTTGTTGTAAAGCAACCCCAAGGGCTGTTTTGCTTTTCATTGTCTCCCAGGCCAGCTTGGTGCAGCGTAACTGAGCCGTCCAGCAGCTCGGTGCCAAAGAAGCGGCGCAAAGTCTCGCCTGCAGAAGCACAGAGCTCAGGCCCTCAGAGATCCATTCTTTTGGCTGAGGATTGGGTTGTTGTGGATTGGGTTGTTGTGTTTTGTTTTTTGTAGGTGGTAAACCTGAATCCACAGTAGCTAATCCATGATTCCATGCATATGCAAGTTTCTGTACTTTGAGATCCTTTGCAAGCAACTAGGCATAATTGTTTGTTTTACATTGTTTTAAGGTATTGCCAACCTATTGGTGTCTTTAATGTGTAGTGTCCTTTCTTGTGCGTCAGGCTGCACACAAGACTCCTTCCTCGCAAAACTTTCTCCAACCTCTATCACTGTGCAGGTGCCCCCCTTGTGGTGGCTGACGGCATCGAAACTCGATGGCCTTGCGGTCGCTGTGGCGTTCGAGGCCACCGGTCTGGACCTGAGGTCGCGGGCGTCGCGTCACGAAGCCAGCAGATGTGTCTCTTGAGGCTGAGCGGGTGCCCCATGTCTCACATGGATGGCTGCAATCACTGCGGTCAGGTGCGGGACAGCATGCAAAGAAGGAAGGGAGGACAAAAGCAGGCAGAAGGAAAGAGACAGGAACAGACAGAAAAGAAGACAGGAAGAATCTGAAGAAACCAATCTTGCTGCATATCGCTTCTTGCAGAACAACCAGCTGTTAGCCTTGTCGCTTTCTTTCAACTCCAAGCTTTGGGATGGCATTCTCAGCATTCCAGTGCATTTCAGGCTGGGCACACAACGAAATTCTGTACCTTTGGTTCCAAACCTTTGGAACGCTTCCTATTTTGCGAAGCTGTGAGGCGCGAATTGCGATTTCGGCTGTTTTCGCTTTGGTTGCAGAGGATTAAACAGTTCCATCATGGTAACCCTTGAGAGTACTGATTTGGATGCGTCACATGTATCATGGCCGCTCCCTTCAGAAATTATTGAAGGGTATAGGGTGACCCCTCCTAATAATTTGCTAAAAATAATTGTTTGGAAACTATTTCTACAGAGAGGTGGTAATATGAGGTGGTGGGTATGGCAAAATAGTTGTCATCAAAAAGGTAGAAGGACCTCCAAATAATTATGCCTAAGATAGGTCAAGGACCTAGACAGAATTTCTGATGATTAGGTCATTATACCTCAAAATAATTTCTGAAGGATAGGTTATTATACTTCAAAATAATTTCTTGAGAATTGTTCATCAAGCCATATCAACCTGCTGTCATTTTGGCCGCTGCTATTTGCCAAAGGGGTAGTGAATGTATGTGAAGAAGCAAAGAAAGAGAACCAACCATGTCTTCCTGCGCACAATGTCCACTGTTTTCAGCAGCTTGCGATCGGAATACACCTGTGGAAGAATGTTGCTCAAAAAATTGCAGGACATGTAATATTGCAAAAAACTAGTTAAACATATATAGCAAAAACAAATCTGTCAGGACGGTATAATCGCATAATATCATGTATGATCATATAGAGGACCGTATATGACCTATATTGCTAAATTATTTTGGGGGTGGGGTACCCCTTGACCAACCCATAAAAAAAAAAAAAAACATGTTCATCAACCCCATTCCACAACATTATTTTGGGGGTGGGGTACCCCTCCATCCCCCCCTGCTGTCCACCACCACTCTCAGTACCACTACAGTGCATTAAATTATTTAGGGGGGTGGGGTACCCCTCACCACCACCTTCGTCAGTGCCAGCGCATTCGACTAATTTATTTTGGCGGTGGGGGACCCCGCCAACCACCCTATGCCACATTCGACTATTTGACTAAACCTATTTGACTCGCTGACTAGCTCTGTACTATTCTGGACTATTCTTTGCTATTCTTTACTTTCCATTACTATCCTATTGCATCCTGCTGCTGTCATTTCTTGTAAGAGATTTGATCAGTTTTTTGTAAGAGTTTTCACCTGTCTCTTGTAAGAGCTTTCCCCCCTTTCTTGTAAGTGTTTTCCCGGCAGGGGGTATACATTTTTTGTAAGCGCTTTCCCCCAACGCTGGAAAATTGTTTCAGGGTCCGACACCTGCCAATAATAATTTTGGGGTGGTGGGGTGCACATACCTCAAAATGATTCTTTATTAATGGAGGGTATCCACCTCCCTCCCCACCCTCAAGACAGGGGCCATCATGTATCACATGCCAGCACTTGAGGCCACACTTGCCGTGCTTTTGGCGACGTTTTCTGGTGCCACTACAGCGTGCTGATGCTGATGCGTTTCGTGGGTGCACTCTTCCTTTGTTTAGGTTTGGGGAGGTGCATGAGCTTTGTTCATGTTGTTCTGTTTTGCACATATATTACTGAGGTTCAAAGCAGAAGATCCTCGCACTTCTGGGCGTGCAGATGTTGGCCTTCGCTGCCTCTCCGCAGCTCTCTTTCGAAGCCAAGGTGTACGGCACAACACCCAGGCGCAAACCAGACACGAGCCGAGGTTTTGCTTTGTGTGCGTGTGACAAAAAGTGCTTTACAGCTTCCTCAAGGCATGCCTTTCTTTTGAGAAGAGTGGGCACACCCTGGAAGTCTCTGGAGCTTTAGTCAGAGGCAGGTGCCTCATTTACTGACGAGGTTCTGCACAACTTCCCTTTCTCTGTAGGTATTTCCTTCTCAGTGTGTGACTCCTAGGCCTAGTCCCTGATGAGCCTCACCTGGCAGAGCGCGTCCGCTTGGCCTTGAATGGTGAGCCGATGCCTGATCCTTCTCAAGAGCCAGAGGTAGCAGACTTGCTCGTGGGAACTCGCTCCGGGTCCGTGGGGACGGAGGCTGTAGCAAAACGCCTCCAAACTCTGAGTTGACCATGTCCAATAGATTCCAATAGTCTATTCATGTCAATTCAATTCGGTTCATTTTGTGGGTCAGGTTTTAGCACACCATCACACACCCACTTGTTCCGATCCAACTACTGGAAGCTGCTAATTATGCTTCCCGCGACCGCCAGCTGCGTTTGCTGCGCTGCCGTGCGAGGCATGGTGTACAAGTCCTTTGCGGGGCATGGAAGCTCGGAAGCGCTCCACAAAAGCAGCCTTGAAGGCAGGCTTCAGTTCGATTGCAGTGACCCCATGTGATGGACATGTGAATCTCCGGCGATGTCCGCAAATGCAAACAACTGGCGCAGTTTGGGAACGCTGTATACCAGCTTTTGCAAGTACGTCCGAGGGCAATGAATCTAGGAATGCAGCCGATGGCATCTCGTTGACCAGTGGAATCTTCTGGAATTTTTGTGGTAAAGGTTGAAGTCCCTTGAGTTCTACCAGTAAATAGTATATAGTAGCAAGAAGCTACTAGGTGGAGGCCATCGTTATTAGGTGGGAGGCCATCGCTACTAGTAACAAGTAAAGCTCTCTAGAGTTAAGTCTAGCTATATATTTGGCTAGGTTTGGCCGTCCAGCCTAGTGCACCTGACATGACATGTGTCTACCCATAACACGTGCTGTTGACCAGGCTTGCACCTTGCGCATGCTGCTTGTTTCAAATGGCAACGCTCACAGACTTTTTGCTCAAGCTTCTGCGTTTGAGCTGAGGTTTGATTAGTCTAGCTACCATGTTCAAAATGTTGCCTTTGATGGTCACCTGACGTTCATAGTCACTGCGCCGCCCTTGTCGACAATGCTTCAGCTCCTCCTTGTGTGCTTTGCCCTGTTTTGCAACTTCGCAAGTGGACCAGCCACAATCATGGGCAACAAAATGGTCTTTTTAAATGCTGGATTTCAATTCCCAATCCTGCTGACCGTGGCCCACTATGGATGCACCTGGCTTGTGATCAAGTCCATGTTGCGACTTGGTGTGTACAGCCCTGCACCATCACAGCTTCTGACTTCCAGTGGGACTCGGAGAGCTGTTTTTTTGCTGATCTCCTCATGGAGTTTCTACAATATTATGTCGAACCTGTCGCTGTCGAAGAACTCTGTCGGTATCTACCAGATGGTCAAGTTGCTGATGGCACCAGGTGCAGTTGTGTGGGATGCAGCATTATATGGGAAGCACCCCACACTCCGCCAGGCCTTTCTCTTGTGCCTTGCTGTTTGTGGTGTTTCATTGTGCACTGTGTCGAGCTTTGACACTGGGGAGTTGACATCTTCTGGCCTTGCGGCGGCCTTTGCAGCAGTCTTTTTGGCAATTGTTCAAAAAGGCTTGACATCTCATGTGATTCAACATTCTGAAGACAAGCTCTCTCCTCTTCAGCTACTAGACAGCTGTATGCCTTGGATGTGTTCCATTACTGTATTTTGTGCGATTCTCCTGGAGGATTTGGCAGCAGCCAGTCGACAACTGCAAGCAAGCACCTGCATGGCGATTGCGTTGTCCTCTGTACTAGGAACCTTGGCAAATGTCTCATCGACATGGGTTCTTGGTCTTACTTCGCCTCTTGCTCACATTCTCCTTGGGCAATTGAAAACGATCGCTATATTGCTAGGTGGATTTATATTCTTTGATGAAGAGCCGACCCTTCGTACCTTCCTTGGTGCAGTTGCTGCACTCACCGGTATGACGATGTATGCTTGGACGAAGCTGCCACGTGAGAATCGTGAGATGCACGAGGGAAACCAAGCCTGTGAGGTTGACGATGAAGAAACTGCCATTTGCAAAGAGGAACCTCCAGAGATCAAGAACATCTGGAGTGTGGGAAGTCCCAAGGGCTCAGGCTGCAGAGGGTAGGACAAATTTGCTTGCACGAATCAGCACTGATGATTCAACGATGCTGCAGCGTTTGAAGCGCGATAATAATGGCCTGGAGCATATGTCTTCAGCTGCATGTTGCGGTGAACCAGCTGCACCAATGCCCTTAGAAAGAGCAGAAACTGTATGAAACTGACTGTTGATTGTGTGTGTGTGTGTGTCAACGCCTGTTTCCAAGGATTTCACACCATCTCACGATAGGTCCAATCAGACAGCTTCGTGATACTTCCTCATTAGCTTTTACTTCAACG